TGAGGTTATGATGCTCTCAGCTGAGCTAATGCGCGATCGGGTCGCCAGCCTTGAGAGGGCTAACAAGGCAGCAACAAAGCGTAGGCAGCGTAAGAAGAAGCGGATACAGAAGCAAGGAGTGCTAACAAAGGGAGCTGGAGAGGATCTACTCGCTCAGCGCGAGGCTGATCAGCAGATTGCTCATGAAGAGCGTCAAGGAGGAGAGCGATCAGGTGTCAGCCGCCAGGCTTTAGCGCGCTGCAGTAGGTGTAGGGAGACTGGCCATAACTCTCGTACGTGCAAGAAAGATACTCTAGGTACTGCTTAATCTATTATGTTAATATATAGTAAAACAAATATATTGTGGTGGAGCTACAGGCTTATAGAGGTGCGCAGGTTTGGTGGGGTGCGCGACTCGCTTGCCTGCGCGACTCGCTTATCCACTACGTTAGTTCAATTCTAAGCATGCTTTTTAATTCACTGCCGACATAGTATACCATCTAGTAGGGAACAAGCCTGATGCTAACTTGTTAAATGCAATGGATGGGGAGCATGAATGTAAACTTCTGGTCAATATCTACCGTGCGACTTCTCCGTGCATGGAGTATTAGTGCATACGTGAAATACGCGGAATTCATAGTAGTAGTTGAGTTTACTTTGGATAAATATGGCCAATTGTTGGAATATAGCAAATTACTTGATATGTTCTTGTCTGAGAACTCTTTACAGTTTGCTGTACTCTAATACATCGAGCGGGGTAGCCTAAGGTAATGCCTTGGTTTCTGATTGTTTCCTCAGATACCTTCCTCTGCCCCATGTAAAATGTCTATCATCGGAATCTTCTTCGCTGTATCCCTACTTTGAATTTCATTCATGTTACTAACTTACGAAATGATATCGTTATAGAACGTTTTTGCCTAAACCCACACGAAATCTCTTGAGAAGAGAGGTACTTGGGTATGTGTCAAGGTTCTTGTTGGAGAAAATATGCAGTACTCAGGCCTTGATTTGTTGATTTTGACCCAACGGGTTTTCAGAAGCGTTATCGGCAGTCGTGATAGAGTCAATGCACATGGCCTTGGATTTTCATGGCTAGTACATCATGTAGCAAAGTCACCCATTATCGTATGGAGTAATTGCCTCATAACATGTTTCGTCAACATGCAAGATATGGACTAGCGATATAATTAGCTAACTATCATTGTGAAGGCTAAGTTGTGTATCAAGATTATCAAATACCAATCAGAAAAAACATGTAAACAGCATCACGATTGGTCACTTAAGAATGGAGAAACATTTGTTACAGACGCTATTACAAAGCGTATCTGCTGGAGAAGAGAGCTAGTACAAAATGAATAAAGCGATTCAACTGAAATAACAGGGTGCACAAAGGGCATCGTTCATCAATCTCAACGTACCATATCAGCTCAAGAACGCAGTTAACTCTTAACATAAAGATATCTTATTTGTTACAGTGCTAACAGCATCCGTTTCCCAGCAGTAGCAAGAAGTGTTCCACACTACAACCTTTCAGCAAGTATATGTTATTTTCTAATGTAGTAACGTGTTCCACGGGCGAGCGCCGCACACGGGCGAGCGCCGCACCCCACCAAACTTGCGCACCTCTCCCATCTTATCGTACAATGGCTCAACGCAGCGTTACTCTATCAGCTTTAAATGAATCAAATGTTCAGCTTGCTATCTCCTCAATCAATTCTAAGCAGATCTTAAGTAATCGGAGTGCAGCTGCTATCTATAGCGTGTCTGAACGAACAATCCGCCGCCGACGCGCTGGTGTCTCTGCGCGACGCGATTGCCAGCCTAACTCGAAGAAGCTGACCCAGCTAGAAGAGGAGGTAATTGTCAGCTATATACTTGATCTAGACCAACGTGGATTTGCGCCTACGTACGCAGCTGTGCGTGATATGGCTAATAAGCTGCTAGCTGCGCGCAGTGGAGGACGCGTTGGAGTCAACTGGCCGTCTACCTTTGTCAAGCGTACAGACAGTCTTACGACGCGTTTCAATCGATCGTACGATAGGCAGAGAGCTCTATGTGAAGATCCAGTTCTAATCAAGAGCTGGTTTGAGCTTGTAGAGCAGACAAAGGCCAAGTACGGTATCTGCGACGAGGACGTCTACAACTTTGACGAAGCTGGCTTTATGATAGGCAAGATCACGACTCAGCTTGTCGTTACAGCGTCAGAGAGAAGAGGCAGGCCAAAGGCAGTTGAGCCAGGCAATCGCGGGTGGGTAACGCTGATCGCAGCGATCAATGCAGCTGGCTGGGCAGTTCCACCATTTCTCATCTTCGCTGGCCAGTATCACCTCTCTGCCTGGTACGAGGAAGCAGAGATCCCACGCGACTGGGTGATCTCAGTCAGCGACAATGGCTGGACGAACAACGAGCTAGGCGTCGCATGGCTAAAGCACTTTGACGCTTACACAAAGACTCGCGTTGTCGGCACACGTCGCCTGCTTATTCTTGACGGCCATGAGAGCCACCAATCTCTTCAGTTCCAAGAGTTCTGTAGGGAGAACAATATCTACACGCTCTGTATGCCGCCTCACTCCTCTCATCTGCTCCAGCCTCTTGACGTTGGCTGCTTCTCGCCGTTGAAGCGCGCGTACAGCCGTGAGGTGGAGAGCCTGATACGCAACCACATCAACCACATCACTAAGCTCGAGTTTCTGCCAGCGTTCAAGGCAGCGTTTGATCGATCCTTCACGCCGGCCAATATCTGCTCAGCTTTTCGAGGCGCAGGCCTTGTGCCTCTCCAGCCAGACGCTGTTCTATCAAAGCTTAACATAAAGCTGCGTACGCCTACTCCTCCAGCTGCTATTGCAGAGGCTGTCTGGCAGGCTCGTACCCCAAGTAACCCACGCGAGCTTGAAGCTCAATCAACGCTAATACGTGATCGGGTTCGGCGGCACAAGAGCTCTTCGCCAGCATCAATTATTGCAGCAATTGACCAGCTTAAGAAGGGGGCAGAGACAATAATGCTCTCGGCTGAGCTAATGCGCGATCGGATCGCCAGCCTTGAGAGGGCTAACGAGGCAGCAACAAAGCGTAGGCAGCGTAAAAGGAAGCGGATACAGAAGCATGGAGTGCTAACAAAGGGAGCTGGAGAGGATCTACTCGCTCAGCGCGAGGCTGATCAGCAGATTGCTCATGAAGAGCGTCAGGGAGGAGAGCGACCAGGTGTTAGCCGCCAGGCTTTGGCGCGCTGCAGCAGGTGCAGAGAGACTGGCCATAACTCGCGTACGTGCAAGAAAGATACTCTAGGTACTGCTTAATCTATTATATAAATATATAGTAAAATAACTATATTGTGGTAGAACTACAGGCTTATAGAGGTGCGCAAGTTTGGTGGGGTGCGGCGCTCGCCCGTGTGCGGCGCTCGCCCGTGGAACACGTTAGTTACATGATGAGTTTTGAAAGGTCAAGAAGCCAAGATATTATAGCAAATAGTTAAGGATCTTCGACGCTTTTACCAGCCGATTAAAATCAATGCTACCCAAGTCGCAAGAAACAAGAGTCTGGTTAAGAATGGTGAACAAACACAGATGATACATAATTACAAATATAGGGAATGATAAATTATGCCTCACTTGACACACACAACACGAGCGATCGTTCTGAGAGCCAGCATTCGCTTCAGGTTAGCAATGTTGTTCCTTCACCATATAAATTTGAAGTACTTGATTAGTTGGTTGAAATACTCTCCTAATAACTAGAGGAGCTGAATACTATTATGCCTTATATGTCTAGTTTGGTAGTTACATTAAAAACGAGTTTAGCTTGTGCACAGTATTCCTAGGCAAATTTAATATTCTAGTTATTTCAGTGGTGAAAGTATTGTGCATAAGACACTTAGATCTAAAAAATAGATACCACACGATTTGTAACTAATTAAACCAGTTGAGAGTTTCTTTGTAGATACTGAGGCTAAGCTTAGATGATAGATAGAAAGGAAAATAAGCAGCATATAGGCTTAATTAGGCTATTGAGGTGAAGGAATGCGATGGACGCTTAGGAAACATTAGAACTAGGAGCTGACCACGACAGGACCTGCCAGGGTAGCGGCAGTGAGATCAGAAATGCTAGTGAGCTCTGATTGCGTTGTCAAAACTGCAAAAGCTGTGCCCGACAGGCTGGAGGGGACTATCGTACTTCCAGAACTTTCGTCGAACAACGTTAGTGAAGTGAATATAGGCTGGGCAACCTGATTCACCCAAGCTACGAAAGCGCGACGACCCACTTGATCAAGAGCAGATTTAGCTGCGGTATCCCACCCTACACTCACGTTTGTGCCTGGCTGCACATGGAAAGCAGTTTTCTCATTTATTGTGAGCTTTGGCAATAGGGGTAGCGGTAGCTGCACGCTGCAAGAGCCTGGCTGAGTATACTCCAGCGCGATGTTATACGCCCACGCTGGAGTCGCAGGTGTGTCAAAAGACTGTGCACTTGCATTTCGGTGGGAATAATCACCAAGAAGCGCAATGTGCTTTGCATCTACGCTCGCGATACTTGACAACAAGATGGCAACAGGCCCATCTGCTGCCTCTGCCATCGACATGAAAACGCCGAGGTTGATGGACTTCAGTGTGACCATGAGAAAACTGAGTTCAGTTAAATTGCTGGGTAGGTCGTATCGACAGGGCGGCACGTCTGGGTATCCTGATTGGGTGAGTAGGGTCCGTAGTGTTCTCAATTGCGTCTGCTCTTGCTGTTTAGGGCACACGGGTTAGTAGAAAACTCATGACGCACTGCGCGAGCAGGATAGCTTACCACACCAATCGCCGCGACTAGGCTGGCCAAGTCATCTGTATCTTCTCTCGGATTTGAAGCGCTCAACTCAACTATTCTACTCTCATTAAACACCCATACACCCAGATTTTTCAGGAAGAGGGACAGCTTCAGAGCATCGACAGAGGGCGCAGAAAGAGCAATTGTGCCGTTCTGATTGCTCGCATTTGGTCCTGTTAGAGACCCTGTAGGTCTGTACAATCCGACAGAGTCAGAAGCCTGTGCGCCCGCCAAAGATGTGGACTTGTCACCAAGACTTGTCTCAGTAAGTGTAGGGCCATCCGGAGAGAGATCTGTAACACTGCTCACTCCAGAAGCACTAATCGTAGCGGTTGTAGGAATAGGAGCACCTGATTCCCCGATGCTAGTGGGGAGGCCGGTAAGCGAAGTGGAAGGAGCAGCGCCGCTGACAAGTTGACTACTGCCACTCGCACCAGGACTCGCAGGAGATTGACCATTGCCACCTGCACCACTTACACTCGGGCTTACGGCTGGCTCACCATCATCATTTATATTACTTGGATTGGGGCTTACAGCTGGTCGACCGTTGTCACTTATACCAGTTGCACTAGAGCTCATGGTAGCCTGCCCAGAGCTGACAAAAGACCCAGCACTTTCGTCTACAGCCGAAGTCGAACCTCCAGTGGCGACAAGGCTGCTGGTCTCTGGTACAGAAACCATGTTTTGGGGTTCATCACTCGCTATGGAGGCAAGAGAGCTCGATGCGGTCACACTGGCCGTAAGAGTAGGATTGAAAGACCCAGAAGCACTCTGTGTGCGAATTTCTGTAGCGTCAGGAGGAGGCGGTGCACCTGTAACTCGTGACACATCTGCTGAGTTGGCAGGGCCATCGAGACAACCTGTTGACGGTTCGGTCTCACTCACAGTTAATGTCAAGGGAGCGGTAGTCAGTGTCATGTCGCTGTAGATTATTGTAACTAAGGGTTGTAGGCTGTTGGTGGAAAATGGAGCCCCCGATATAGGAAAGCAATAATGATCGAAGACAGGCGTTGCAGACACATCTCCAGATTGAGCTTCACTCAGGCTCCACAGAGCGCTCAGAACGAGCAAAATAGCCGTTACAGCCATGACTAGTTACTTTTTGAGTTTCTGTGCTCAATTGGGGACGGCGACAGTCTCATATAGCTGCTTCGATAACGGCGACTGCATTTACGCGCGTCAGCTGTTTTCGGGTAAGTTAATGACACTCCGCTTACGTTGTTTGTCGCTTACTGGTGACGTAGGTCACTTTCTGCAAAAGGTTACATTGATGAGCGTAGTCCAAAAAGGATTGTGACAATTGAATGCTTCGCAAGGCGTGGCATTGACTGAGTAGGCTTCCACACGCTGCCTAGCGGTCATTTCAACTATGACATGCTTCCTGCTTGCATGTTGTGAGGAGTGTATCCTCGCGGAGCAGAGCCACCTAAATAGCGGATCATGGCCCAACAAGGCAGCCACTTTCACATTCAAACACTATCGCGCGCAAAGTCATACCATCCTTTATGAAACGACAAGGACCAGCGCTCTAGCAGCCATCGTGCGACTATGGATGCCAGACGCGACTGGGAATATCCAACCTCCAGCGCTATGTGCACGTGCAGAATCAGTCAAGCCTTTATTACCTACCCACACAAATGATAACGTATAGATATAAGAGAGAATGATTACCGTATTTCTTCACGCGCTGGCCATGGTGCGAGTTGCGTCATTTTGCTAGTTCAGGAATGGTTAACCACTCGCTGTTCGCTGTGCTTGTTAGAGAAAGCTTAGCTAATTACAACACGGCTTTTGTAAGTAGAGGAGGTATACATTATGCGATGAGCGGCAAGATTGACGTAGAAGCACAGTGGTGTTGAGAAGCGGGCAGACTTATGCATAGCAACGTAGCAACGTAGCAACGTAGCAACATAGTGGCACTGCGGCATAGCAACGTTCATAAATCTCTGCCGTCATTAAGAGAGACTAGTTGAAGCACAAGCCCAGATCCAACAAGGGCTCGGAATTGATGCTGCAATCGTCTTTCCCGACGTCCACTGATCTCTTTGTTTTCACCGGGGACGGCAGTTAGATCTGAGGCACAAACTGTGGGCCATTTGCACAATTCTGGCATCTTTACGTACACCTACCTTTGCGAATGCAATTGCCGTGCGTGGCTACTACAGTCATTAGCGATTGCTGCATCACCTCCGCAGGCATCATGTCAAAAGTCCCGTCATCATAAGATTGAGAACTGACCAATCATATCGATGGTTCTGTGGCTGGCTTCTTGCCCTAAGCCATGTACGGAAGGTGAGGCTGTTCGAAACCGCTTTGCCGCTGCGTGGAAGGGTGAAGCCGCAATCGCCAATGATTGTATCTCGGCTTCTGTCTTCTCAGTCACCGTCAGCAATATGATTGTGCAAGCAAGCAAGACGTAAGCATTACCAGTGCAGACGCGCCTAGCTTGCAGCCGAGATCAATGCAGCTACTGCAATGATGTGGCGCAGCGTCCTGGCGATGCCGATGGCGGCAGAACAATCTCAGCGTTTTGGTGCGTCTGCTGTGCCGTCAACCAGCGTCGCTTGGTCCGGGACAGGCAAGTTTCAAGGCAACATGTCGTGCACGACCCATATTTCATTTCCTTCAGCACGGCATCTAAGTGGCGGTATTAGCGCGCGGCTCCCGAAAGTGAGCTCAAGGCGATGGTGCAGGCTTCCACCCCTGTCCCCCGGAGGCAGAATTGCCAAGAAAATCAAACTGTGCCGCACGGGTCAATTTTCCAGTTCGCGGAGTGTTCTTAGGTTCCTCGGCACAGTGGGAAGCATACGGCCGATACACAGCCCAGCCTGATCGGCCTTTATTTCCAAGTGCAGCACCTACACCCATCCTGAATCAATTCATACTCGTCATACGATGTTCGAGATTGCTGCGCCGCAAAGCCGCAGGAAATGACGCGGTGACGGATACGACGGAAGTCATCACCCTGGCTTGTGCCCGCCCCAAACAAGGCATTGGAAAGCGAGCCTGATGGTCTTGTTGTAGACGTGAATGAGGGTAACGTTGGGAGTGCTATTCCAATCAACACAGACGCTGGACTGCTGTCTGTCTAACGTGGACGACGTTGAAAGTGGCGTAAGCGCGGCGTTCGGCTAAGCAAATCTCCGCCGATCGCCATCCTCTGCATGCAGCGAACGCCCGTGATGACGCATCCCCCTGACCCACGTGATCGTTCATGCATGCAGGCATGTGCAGGAATGTGAGTCCACGCAGCAAGTGGATCCACCCAGTAAGCATACGACATGTCGCTTCATGCTTTTGAACCGCAGGAGAGAAATCTTGCGCCGCCTACCCCCATCGGTATCGCTTAGAGCAGTCATATTGGAGGTGGTAGCGATATAGTCCAAGAAGTTGGCAGCGACCATGGCCCGGCAAGCCTGCGCGGAGCTTTGGCCCTGCTGTTCCCCCACCTACGCACGAACCTCGTTCTCTCTGTATCTTGCAGCGGGCGAACGGCAGCACGTTCTGGACAGGCTATTTTTTTTTTCTTGCAGTAGTACGTTCCCAAAGCCAATACGTAGCCGCGATCGAGGCAGTGGTTGCATCAACCTCCAAGCACGTTGCAAACACGATGCCCAGGGTATGGATTTGTGTATAGCTGGAATGTATTATTCCCTTCACAAAGTACCCACTGCCAGATTTACTACTACGTGTAATCATCTGTGGTGGTTGATCTAGATGACTGTCATGCAAATTACATGCTATCCCAATTCCGGCCATCCTTTGTCTCGTATGGAGATCCACTTTCCATTGTATGTTCGTACCCACTTCGTGTCCGAATTTATCCCGTTGCAGAAGAAAGTGCCCAATGCAGTGCGATGGCACAGTCGACTCGGCAAGAGTGGCAGCACAAATATCAAGCCCCTTTGCTGTTCAGTCATCGTCTTCACTATTGTCAGATGCCACCATGGAGGCTTTCAATCATGATTTCCCACCCTTGGATCAACAAGACCAAGATCTTTTTTCTGGATCTGGATATCCCGGCCCCAATACCAACGACCTTGATCCACAGGTGCCCCCTATAGGCAGCCGTCATGTCGGAGGACGTCCACCAGGGTCAGCAGCATATACCCAGTCTGTTTGGAAGATGTGGTGTTAGAGATAGTATCTGACCGGTTTCCAGCAATTTTCCGAGGAATGACGCGCCAAATTCAAGCATAGACCAGTTATCATCTATCATTACGCTGTTGGACCAAATGATACGACATGGTTTCAGCAATTTTAAAGAGATAATGGAGGCGTTGAAAGAGATAACAAAGAAGATGGAAGTGATAGAGAGGAACCAAGGAGAGGACAAGAAGGGCCAAGAAGACATCAAGAAGGGCCAAGAAGACATCAAGAAGGGCCAAGAAGAAATCAAGAGGAACCAGGAAGTGATCAAGAGGAACCAAGAAGAGATCAAAACAAGGTTTGGAACAAACTACAGAGACCAAAGAAGAAGGGTACCAGATAATGTAAGGAAACACATGTCAGATGGGCCGCTAGGAGGCAGGGGCTCCTCTAACTACCCATATCCCGTGGGGCCGGGGTTCCACACGTCTTATGAGAATTCACAAGCGCCCTTTTATACACAAGAACTAGAGTGGGTCCGCATCTTCCGAATTCACATGTATAGTTACTGAAATTTAACCAGGGGCATGGATTGGTAGTAGGAGCCTTGCTCCATCTATCCATCTGTTGTGAGGTTTTGGAGAAGCGCTCACTATCACAAAATGCGCTGAGGCTTTCTCGCTACAGTTCACAATATTAGAAGTCTTGCACGCAATGAAACAAAGAACAGCGTGCTCATGAAATTGTTATTCATATCATACAATATCTACACGAATAGCTTCGGATTTATTGTGATCTTGAGTTGCGCCGGTGTTCCCGCTCTCTCATAGTATGCGATCATGTCGTGAAGCTTTTTCTCGTCACAGTATCTACGCATTCCTGCACTGAGCGCTTGTATCTTTTTTGTGTTTAAGCTTGTTGCGCTTCCCGAAACTACAGTCGATGTATGCGGATTGTAATGGCTGCTCATGACATTAGAAGCATCTTGCTGTAGAGCAGGTTGCTTCCATTCGTGTACGTGATTGACGACATGTTGTAGTTTGGTTTTGATGCGCGTGAGCCCATCCATTAATGCCTTCGGGTCGCAAGCATCTTTGTCGATGACAGAAAGTGCTTCAACGCTTTGGTCCATAATAGCTAGATGCTCCAATGGAGTGAGTGGTGCACTGGAAGGATTCGGTCTTCTTCTTTTGTTTGGGGTGTTCTCCACTTCGCTTGAGGCTTCTTGCTCACTTGCATCCGGATGCTGAACTGCACTCAGTGCTTCTCCATCTGTTTCATTTTCCATTGTTCTGCTTTGTTGAGAAGACTTCGAACCCGCTTGATTTTGTTTCTTTTTGCTTTATCAAAGTCAGAAGGCGCTTGGGCTACATTCAGCGTACTCGAACCAAACACTTACTCTCTATACCTTCGTTGCGCCATCTTATTACAAATTCTACGCGCTTCCAGGGCCTGGGTTTTAGTGGCGTATTTCTTGTTCGCCATGGGAGGTAGATTAAAACACTCATCGTAGTAATACAACCTCACTGCATATGATAAATACCACGTTAATGCTCGGCGAACACAGTGATAGACTGAAATTTGAAGCTAGCCTGAATCATACGCATAAGCAGTATGTGTCAAGGTTGCGCTGCCAGCCGTGTTGCAGGGATGTTGAAGTGCAATGGGTCTCGAGCATTGGCGTAGCGGATCCCAACATGGCCAGAATCTTGATTTGAACGAGCATGCTGCGCCGTAAGCATAAGCAGTTTGCACCGCTGCTACAGCACCATGCCAACCGCGATGTGTGGGCCTTCAAGTAGAGTGGGTCTCCATGTTTGGTGTAGTGGGTCTCAATGTTCCGCAAGTTTGGAAGATGCGCTAGCGGGATAAGCGCCGTAGGAGTTCTTGCAGGCCCTGGCCATCACACGAACTCCAAAAAAAACTGGGGGGTGGTGCATGCCGGACATGGATGCGCTCATTAGCGGGCCATTAATGTACCGAGATGTTGCGCAGTCAGCGTTTTCCTAGCTCATCGCTACTTCACTAAAACAGCCGTGATGATCTTGTCAACCATGTGCGTAACCCGTGGCGAGAAAATTAATCGTTCTTAGACCTTTCTCCCACCCAATCGAATGCGTTGACCTGTTCACTATATGCATGGTCAGAACCAAAGCCTTGAGACGATAGCTAGTTGTGGATACAGCCTATGGTTGCGTGTGGTTGCAATGTAGGAACATAAACGTCTGGATAGCATACTATCACAGTACACGGCTGCATGGCGGTTGCAAAGAAAGGGCATTAGTAGGGCATCTTTTCAGTATATGCAGTTGTTCTTATCGCAAAGAAATTCAACGTTAAGCTGATGCCAAACAAGTCGTTGCCTCATACCCATCAATATCTTCTTGCATCAGCGAATCTACAGCATGAGCGCGCAATGATGATCTTTGAATTTGACTTTTCTTTTCTTCAATACCAGTATCGACAAACGCGTCAGCATGACCACTAGGTTGTTCGCTAATCATGGTGACCAAAACTACATCGTGTGATCTTATGAAAGTTTAAGACTACTCAATAGCCACGTTGCAAGCCTTGTCATCTTCATCTGCTTTACTTGGTATATTCACTTCTTGCACTGCGTGGCGAGTCTAATAAACCAAACTGCTTGGATTCCTTACCCACCCCTCTGCAGGATTCGGCATGTCAAACCAATTCCAATCACGACCCAGATCACGGGGTCGACTGCGATCTCCTCCACCCACCCGGACTTTCGCGTACCGACTCAAAGAAATCGGACAGCATGCAATGTGGACGCTGGAAGACATGCTTGAAGAAATATCCACGGTACACCGAATTCTACTCTGCTACTCAGTGGCTATAAGCGTGGCTATTGAGTGGCTAAGACTGAACCATGAAGACACACTGCTTTCCATCTTTGTAGAGATGGTTCAGTTCGCTGTAGTGGTTGATTGCATCTTGATCATTACGTACCATCTTATGCATCTATCGGCATCCAACCGGATGCTAGCAACTGTGGTATACCAAACACCTCTTGTCACTGGGCCGCTCGCTGAATTTGAGCTTACCAGACTGATGCTCATGGAAAACGCGACGACAGCCGCTAACATCTTCCTGGTCGGATGTATGTATGCGAAGCCCTTGGTAGCAGGCGCGCTCTGTCTTGTCCTCCATAACCTTTACATTGGAGGACCCGGGATGCAGCCACATGCCAACATTCTCACAAATGTTTCCAAAGTCTTTTTACGCAGTGCGGCCTTGGCTGCGCTCTTCACATACGGAGTCGGGCTGGAGTCGCTCCCTATCCTCACAGCTGCTGCGGGAGACAGCCTGTGGCTGTCCCGGGGGGTACCTATCCTACTTCTCTTGTCCATTAGTCTTGCTTGTTACTTCTGGTACTGGTATGCTGAGAAGTACCGTGATATTGCAAGCAAGAGCTATAATAGTCGAAGAGACCCTGAGTGGATTGTGCTGCTAGTCTGCCTAGTGGCGCTGAAGTTAGCTGCTGCTAATCTAGTGCATAGCGTGTGGAAGCAAATACGAGGCGTTGCATTGACAATGGACGAAGATATTGCTTGGGAATCGAGTGATGCTGTTGTCCAGTTTGCTATCCTCCCGCTCGCTACTGCTGCTGTGGACCACCTCGCGGACATCAGCGCTGCCTACCGGGGGGACATATACTGGTCCTGGATTAGCATTTGCCAATCAACATTGCAGACATTTTTTCTCATTAGGCCACTGTTCGTGCTCGTCGGCCACGATCTTGACCCACGCAGCGGTCGAATCGGTATTGCGATGTGCTTTCTTGGCATTGCGCTGTGGCTATCGCTGCCAATTCAATCCCGTATGTTCCCTCTCTAACAGAATAACTACATTAAGATGACTGACAGCCATAGGATTGCTAAAAGGCTCGGTTCTGCTTCTCATGTACTCGGGAGTAGTGGCTTTGTGTGCAGCTCACTTTGACTATTTCAACACCCATATATCCTAGTATTGCCGGCGTAAAAACTTCAAAAGATTGGATTGATTGTAACACGGAGTAGATGACAGTGCTTAACCTCTATCTCATTTTGCTCATCGTTCGCTATGCATGCGATTCGGCAATCGAAAAGCACTTTGTATCACTAGCGCACACTCTGGCATGATGCTTGAGTTTGTGCCTGCATGAAGCTTCATGCCCACATTCTTGTTTCAAGTAAATAAACTGAGTAGCCGTTAAGCCGAACACTCGGAACATTTATTTCCTCAGTCGTGCGTAACCTCTTCCTTTCGCGTATCTGCCGTTTCTGTACATTTCCAAACAGGCTCCCCATTTAGCAGCGCATAACCTTCCTCGAACGGACTTGTGTACTCTAACATCGCTGGCGGCTCCCGCAAATGGTTGGGTGATGCATTTAAAGAAGTTTTCGCAGTAAGGTCGCTATAGCTCCATGCTAATGCGTGGTGGTTTCTTTCATCTGCGATTGTATTGTTCTGATCCTCCTGTTCAGGCTCTGCTAGACGAAGTTGGTAGCATGTGGCATGCCGCTCTGCAAGAGCAACTCTCTGGTCATCGCATGGCGTATTTGTATTGCGTTTTTTGTCACCTTTTCACAACAGTGTTAGAAATGCGCCAATTCTCTCGCTTTCGCAACCTACGACGTCTTTTTTGGGAAATGCGGTTCTGTTCCCTGCGACGCTCGATTCTTGCTTCTGTTGATTGTTTAAGTGCCATTGCCTTGCATGTGTTTATCCTGCTAGCCTCTCACAATACTCATAAAACAAGTTGCACCCTCCTCTTGTCAGATAAGTGGCAGAATCCGGGTGGAAACTCGATCACCTGGATTCTGTGATCCCAGCCAATCAGGGCTGATCGCCAAGACCCATCCCTAGGCGAGGCTGATACTCAGCCGTCTACCTGATGCAAAAAGCAATAGCGACAGAGCTCATAAGGCGGCGCACCTGCGCGCCGCTGGAATCAGAACAGCGATCAATACAATCAATTTCTATCATCAAGTTTATCACAGTCTTTTATCACAGTGATCTAAATCAATCCTTGATCAGAAAACCCTAACAGTCTGACACCTCTATAGCATTCTTCAATTAATTTCACTATCTCTTCAGAAAAAGATTATGCTGACCATCAGCCTTACATTATAGTCAACAAGTAGTGTTAGTTATAGCGTAAGAATTAACCACTTATGATCGCGGTTCGACGTTGCTACTTAGATATGTCCTTATGCATCGCACTTTCTTCAATCCCTAGCACGTATAGTCTGGTGCTGACACACAACAGGCAGCTTATGTAGAAAGCCCTCTTTGACATTATAGTCATTAGCAATTGCGGCTTTAACCCCGGAGGCAACATTCCAAGAATCTAGTTAACTAGTTCTCATAAGATTAAGGATTGACCAATCATACCAACCATTTTATGGCTGACTTCTCGCGCTAAGCTGTGTGTGGAAGGTGGGGCTGTTCGAAAATGCTGCGCTGCCGTAATCACTAACAACTGTATCTTGCCATTTCTGACACGCTACCAATCCTTTGGTCATAAGAGCATTACAACAAGTATTCACATAAGTGAGACAAATCAATAGGACCACCTCCAGTGGCCTACGATATCATGCCTTGTTAAAGCGTCTCTATGTACAATGGCCTCTGATAGTAACAGGTACACTCTCATGCACTTGCAGCTTCCGCTTTGCGCACATAGCCCAACTGTCATCCCACGTACGACACGGACCTGCCTGGTGTACGCTTATTCAAAAAAAGTTAAACCATGTAGTAAGATATAATGCGTTAATTCTTCTGAGGGTTGTAAAAAAGACGCATCGCTGACGAAACTAAAACTATTTGGGCAAGATCACCACTAAGCGATAGAGGTTTAGCCTGGGATCAGGGGTCGTCTGCTTACAGAAACCGGAAGCTGCAACTGCATGAGAGTGGAATACGAAGCTGAGGCAATGAGAAAGGGATGCACTGGAGCAACGAGGAAAAATGTTTGGGCCTGAACACTGAAATAGACCCATCATCATTTGCTATTTTGCTTATGATCGTTTTACGACAAAAGGACTGTGAAAGAATCGCAATGCATCTATCAGCAGCCATCTCACTATCCCAATCTCTCAGTCGCGTTATTCTGACTCGTTTACAGCGCGTAAAGTGCAGCGTCTCAAACGAAAGCTTTAGGCACGCTCTCTATGAGTGTCTTCTTGAGGTTAAAGCTGTGTCTTCGTGAAAGATAACCGTATCAGGTTCCAATCCGCCACCACTATCACTGTGCATACGCTCTGACCCCCTTCGCAATTTTTTCCATAGCACTTACGTAGGGTGGTCATCCCGCTGCTTGTTTATTGTTTATGTGTAGATGCAACAGGAAGGCTATGATACATCTAATTCCAAGATGTGTCGGCTTCAGTGATCACTTTGTCAACCTCCTTGAACCTAGGCCGAAGTTTAATCTTAAACGGGAGAGGGCTCCGTCCACTTCCATCATCGTACTCTTCCAGGTCAACAGACTGGTCTGGCACCTCTTGCAGTTCAAATGCCCAAAGCATCTTCGTTACGGCGAGCCAGATTTGACGTTGTGCAACGTGCATCCCGGGGCAGATGCGCCGGCCAGCGCCAAAGGTCCAGTGGTCGCGCAGACGCGGATTGTTCCGTCTTGCAGACTCGGCCGAGGAAAGGTGGTCGTCAAGATAACGGTCAGGCTAACCTAGTCGTTAGTCATGCAGTGGAGTCTTCAAAAGATTAGGATAGGCTTACATTAAATTTGTAGGGATCGAGCCATCTATCTGGATCATGATGCATACTCCATGTGTTCAACACTAAGACTGACCTGGCTGGAATGAGCTTATCGTTGTATACAAGGTCTTTGCTGGTCGCATGTGGAATGCCTTGCCAGAATGGATTATGGCATCGCTCCACTTCCTTAACGATGGCCCGGCAATAAGGTAAATTAGCCTCGTCCTCTAAGTTAGGAAGGCGGCTGCGGCCAACGATGCGGTCGAGTTCTTGATGAGCTTTGCGTTGGACGTCGGCATGGGAGGATATTAGCGCACTAAACCATTCTATGATCAATGTAGTAGCCTCCAAACCGTGCAGCATGAACTCTGAAGCCATCATAATCATGTCTAAATCGTCTAATTGATCCTTGTTCTTCCTGGTGATCATGGTCTTAACCAAGCACTCTCCGACATACACATCGTTCTCCATGTCGTACTCAACGCGCTTCACCTCGCGACCGTATGTATCCATGAGCGATGCGTGCAATTTTTTTCCGCGAAGTTTCTTTTTCCAGGGTAGGTAGTTTTGTAGCCATACAGGTACAAAGTCAACTAGATTGGACATGGGGCCGGTTATGTTCATGAACTCACGCGAGAGGGCTAGAACTTGGGAATGCGCGACAGAAATCTCGGAAGAGCCGAATGTGATGGCGCTTATGCAACTGAGCGAGCAGCGTTTGATGGCAATTTGGGGGTGCAGGCGCTCCTCATTTGCACCATCCGTGTACAGTGTTCGGATCATTTTTGTTGTTTGCGAATCGAGAACGCCGATTTGCTGGTTGATGTCTTGCCGGCCCAACGAGATCGTCGCCAGCTTGCGATTCCTGCGCCTGTGAATCAAATTTAGTGCCTGGCTACTGCCGGAGACGCGAGTTGTGAACGTAAGCCCATAAGACGTACCAGGTGTCTCCGTATGGGTTAGACATGATATCTCTGCCCTTGAATATAGTGTGGTTCTCGACAAACATTTTTTTGCGGTCAGAGCAGATGGAACCTCTACTGGATAAGAAAAACTTCGCAATTTCCGGATCTGACACTACGACAAAGCGCTGGTTGCCGATTGTGAAAGAGTAAAGCGACCCATAATCCTGGGCCCATCTGTGAAGTGTTCGCTCGGGGTGTGTTCTCAACAGGGTGAAGCAGCCTACACATTCGTCAGAAAATCTAGTCTGACCAGCCGTGTGACAGCAAGCGCATGCCTAGTAAGGGGTAACACCGAGGGCCCTCTGGGAGCTCATTGGCGTCGCGGCGCGAATGACGGTGCCACGCGATGATAGCGCACAGGAAGCCAGCTGCAGCAACCGAATAAACAACCCACATGATTCGAAAACGTCTGTGCGTGCAAGGCGACCGATACAAGAGCGCGACGACCGAATGGCGCAGTGATGCGCCAGGTGGGCTACTTAACATCTACGTCAAAAGACATCGAGTGGGTAGCTAAACCTTAGTCCTGTTACTGACATTGCTGTGGCACTTTGATTACATAACAGGGTCTTCGTTAGTTAAAGGCAACGCCTGGAGGATGTAGCTGCTTACGGTGCAGAGCGCCTCGCTTACAATAAGCGAGCAGCTGCCTCAGACATAAGAGCCGCACGGACGTTTTGACCGTCCTGCAGGAGCAATATTTCCAAGCCGCTTACTTACGGAGCGGCCCACACCTGACCAATGTCGTCGGCTATTGCTCATCACCATAGTCACTCCCCAAATCTTCTTGATGGATATATTCTATTTGAAAATGTGCCAACCTTCTGTGGGTTTGATAATAGCAATAGTTATAGAATGCAAACACAATGAATTGGATCCCGGTCAACTTTGATCATGTTCACTATTCTAAGCCGCATGGTGTGCCTTATTTTTGGGATCCCAAGTATCCAGAGTGGATCCAAATTGTAGAGGAAAGTACCTGGGTATCAAAGCACATCTCGTGGGTAGAGCCGTACGTTCTTTCCGCAACGCATCTGGTTCTAGCTGAATCGGGCTAACAACAGCTAGACATGACACAGATGAGAAACTAAAGAAGATTGTGCAAGACGCGGAAAGATTGATGTTCCAACGACAAAGCGCAGTCGAGATGCCTGACTTCTCTCAGCGCCCAACTCTACCTTCCCTTGCGGCACACATTGCCAAAACTCCGTCAGAATCTCCATATCACGAGCCTTTCGGGAGGCGCAGACCGCTCGAAAAACAACATCTTCCTGCATCCAACTCAGAATTCTCGACATCAGCACGAATTCATTCTTTTTGGGAGGCATCGCAGGGAGGAATGCAGCCTGGACAAACTATTGCAAACGCCCCTCGACTGGGAATCGATTATTACAGCTTGCCAGACCGCTCCTTGCAATCGTATGGCCGGCTCAACCCGGCGCCCGTCATTATTAAGGAGGACATATGCAATCAATCAGCGCTTTTCCCGTCCAACTATTCGCACTATGTCAACAACCCGTCGTTTTGAAGGAGCACAGTGGTGGAAAACGTCACAGATATTCCTAACTTCGATGTGGAATCGATCTAGGCAGCGGGGAGGATAATAGTTCGCGTCTATGATACAAAGAGTAGTTCAGGAGCAAACACACTCTTTTGAATGAGAATCAGTGCGGGACATGTGTAGTGGTGTCAGACTGTGAGGGGTTGTTGATCAAGGATTGATTGGATCACTGTGATAAAAGACTGTGATAAACTTGATAGTAGAAACTGATCGTATTGATTGCTCTCTTTCTCTAGCAGCGCGCCAGCGCGCTGCCTTATGAGCGCTGTCGCTATTGTCTCAGGTAGGCGGCTGAGTATCAGCCTTGCCTAGGGTTAGACCTTGGCGCTCGACCCTAATCGGCCCGGATCACAGAATCCGGGTGCTCAGTCCCACCCGGATTCTGCCACTTATCTGACAAGTGGTCACAGGCAATGGTACATATCAGTGTTGCTGCTGCCCTCGTTCCGACTTGTATTCGTTGGTCTTGCGGCCAAGCAGCCACTAGTATTCGGGTCTAATAGTGCCAAGAGCAAACAGAAATTTCTTTTGTAAAAGAACCACATAACTCGACTTGAAAGAAGGTAATACACTTAGTCGTATGTTATTACGAATGCGCAAGGTGTTTATAAGGTGCGCAAACAGGCACAGGTATGTTTGAGAAATTCAGTGCCATGCTATGTTTGCTTTGTCAATTGTAGCGATCTAGTTTTTAATACTTAAATATGAGAACAACCACATCTTGCGACAAATTCCCTGTTCAGAACCAAAAACCTGCGATAGACGGATTTCAGATCAGTTCCTGATACCTATTTGATTACATCCATGTTCCATACTCGTGGCTTGCGTCTATCTTGCCGTATGAATCCTGCGATCGTTTGCCTATTCCATCTCAACATTCCTCTCCAGCATGCGCCCTAGACTTAGGAATATACGAGTGCACGAGATTCAGCACACACTTGTGAAGTCAATTCCTTGTGTCACGCTGTGCAAAGAATGCACTCTCGACTAGTCAGATGCCGAATTTCTATAGATAATAGAAACTCAAGTGGCGTTCGTCTTCTCAGTCTCCAGCGTGTTGTGACCGGGAAATGCAGCTTGGTGGTGTGGTGCCATAAGGGATTGGTCGCCATGTGGATGTTGCAAAAGGCGAGATCTTTCTCTCGCATGTACTTTCTTCTGCATCTGTACTTGAGCGTAGCTCGGTATGAGGCAGGTGAAGCAGTGTGATAGTTGATGCGCGGAGTTTTTCCACACATCGATATACATAGTGCATCCGCAAGCCCAATCTAGCTCCATCTGTTGAGCGAGCAAATCATAGAGGCTGGCGCTGATGTGTACATCCCAATCAAGACAAGCTAAAAAGTGCATCTCGATCAAATTCAGCTCCACATTCGAGAAGCCAGGGAAACCGCATTCAGGAATCGCACTACACTCCGCCCAACAAGTGTTGTTTACGCTATCATCGTTGTGGACTTTATGCGCCAGCATCATGGCAGCTAGGAAGACCCGATGAGTGGTAAACGGTCTTTCTGTGACACCAGCGAGAGGCATGCATCTGTGGAACCGTGAGAGATACACGAGACACATGAGAAGTTCCGGGACGGTGGTGTAAGACCGTATAGTGATATACAAGACAAATTCGTCGATACACGGAAGATAGGCCTCTTCCACACCTGGCGCGGGAGCGAACGTGCGTATTGTAATCTTGGTTGCTTCTTCGGCAATATGATCGATGAGATTTGACAATTGGTCAAGCCTAGTCAGGTACGGAGCCATGTTGAGCCAATGGTAGGGAAAGAACGTGTGAGCAAGCCTGTGAGAGAGTGGACGGCTTTTAACTCATGCGCCGTTCGGATTTCGCCCGGCTGGAAAGCGTGTGCGGCTGCCGCGGCAATACTCTAGTGCATCTTACATGGTATCGTATTCTCTCACGCCGTTGAATCAGAAAACATATAGTAAATACTCTAAGCGAGGATCTACATATAGGCACAGGTATCCATATCTTAAAGACAAAGTCGGCTTTCATTAGTAAGTCGGCTGAGAAAGTATTGGATTAACTAACTTAGTTAGTCACCTGATTATTCTTTACATAAGCACATCGCCAAGTAGTCAGTTAACTAACTAACTAGTTAACCAATCAGTTGACATCAACGTTCCTTCGTCATCCAGTAAGCTCTTCCGGAATACCGTCAGTGACCGCCAACAGCTGATTTTCCATAGTAACAATTACGTCTTCGCACCCTCACGAGTGATGTTTTCGACCTATGAACCCCAAATTCGAATGGTTATCAAGTGTTCTTGCGAGTAGATACCCCATATCTTCGGTGCTAGTTCTGCGTCATTGATGTACGCAAAAAAAAAAACCAATGAGATTTGCGCGATTTCTCATTTTTCTTCTAGCATAGATGCGACGAAGCAGATAGAGCATACATTTGCTGTTGGTTGTTTCGCAACGCCTATCGCATTCAGCTTGAAAAGATCCGAGTCCATCCATCTGTTGGAGTTCAAGTGTGAGCATAACTGATTTATTTACTTGAACTAATGCGCAAAACTGTCAAACGAGAAAATCCACAACAAAGCCTATCGGGCATCTCAAGGGAGCCTCTGTACACCGATATGTTCGAATGATTCGGCATTTCCTCCAATATAGACAGACTCTGAATGAGTTAAGTATTCCTTGTGAGAGATTCGCCGTGGAGCTCAGAGCTGTACATGTGCGTTCGACTCGGGTTAGCCTCGGTATTTTGGCTGAAGTGATGGTAGTGATGAATGTCCAAATCTAGTTTGGCAACATTGCTATTGGATTCTGAGATTTTCTGAAGTATGCGTTTGAGCAAGCGTTTGCTTTCGGCGCATTCCGGTCTCCTGCAAATTTGCGCGCTCCATCCTTGATCATGTGGGGCATGACCAGATCGATGTTTTTCGCAGAGCCAACAACGTTTTCTTTCACCGGCGTGGTTCATACTTTTCCCGGAAACAAGAAGACTATTAGAGTCGATCACACCCGTGAGACCAACTGGGGGCTGACAAAGCCGCTGTGCTTCTCAGGTTAGGAACAACCCAAACACTACCGATTGCAACTGGTAAGGCATAAATTCTTCACACTTACAGCAACTTGGCAATAGGATACTGCTTGATTCGATCAACAGAGACGGTGTTTGCATAGAGATATGGGGTGGATGATATGGTACGGATGATTCTCACGGCTGACGCTTAGTTAGAGGCGAGTAAGCACACCTTGCTGGCAAGTTGTCTGGACACTGTGTGGGTTGGCAAAGGTGGTTCGCTACACGCGTAATGCTACTATGAGTGAGTTGAATAGACCGCTAGAACAAGACGATATAGTTGCAAAAGCAGCTTACGAGTTGACTATGCTGCATGTTGCCATGGAAGATCGCATCAATAGTAACGAGTCGCATTGAACACAGTTCTCAGGAATGTTACAACGGGATATGTCATGGAATTACCTTGTGATTGATGAGGCAGATAAACTTCCTTCTTATTGCGGGGCTTGAGTTAGTATTGACTTGGATCATCAAGGCTTGATTTTTGATGAGAGGCTTTTGGGGGTCTCAGGGTGTAAGGGGCTGCGCTCCGGGAAGCAATTGCGAGGTACACAAGAGGTTGTATTCGATAGAGAGCTATATAGTCTACTTGCGTAGTGTTTATTTACTCTTCAGAGAAAGGTTGTACCGAGTGTCTGAGCGCGTCGTCTGAGCGCCGCTCGGGCGTCGCACAGATGCCGGGTGGTAGAGTAAGACCTGGCGTCTGCTGCTTAACCGAGATTCCATCAAGGAGCTATCCAAAGGGCGTTCAGCCTGTTACACAAGGGTCTCCATATGCTGTAGCTTGCTCGTATCTCACATTGATATATGGATCCATCTTATTCCTGATAGTGGGATATGAAGATTTTCGGAATAAATGGCATGTGTGTGAAGATGAAAGGAATTTTTCTAGGCGCACAGACCGACTTAAGGAAACAAGCAGATGTATAACTTAGCATACTTAGGCACAATTACATCTTTATGAATAATTCTGGGTAATTACCAAACTTGCCGCGCTCTAAGCTAGTCAATTCTGCTCCTAGCAATGATAGGTTACTGTTTCAAGCGTCAGATTGTATGTGCGCTAGCTGTAGCTTTTCATAGAGCCGATTCACTTGCAGCAATAGTGAAGGAGTCAGACCATGTTTCTGCAACTCATTGTCCTTTTCCTGGTACATTCTCTGGAGCTTAACTATGCCTCTTTGCTGGCGATTGATTTTCTTTTTATATTCGCTGTTCTGCTTTTCAAGTTTAGCGTGACTCATCTCGACTTCGTGTAATTTCTCTTCAGCCTGAATCATCCTTTCTTCAGCTTGGATCTTCTTTCCTTTAAGATTTCTGATCTCTTCTTCACACTTCCTGATCTCTCTTCTAAGCTCACTTTTTTCATTTTCAAGCTTAGAATTCTCGATTTTTAGCTTGCGCTTCCACTCTTCAAGTCTCACGTAATCTCGGCATTTTCGGATCAATCTTATCTGCCGCTTGATGCTTTCTTTCTTCCAATATGCCAAATCATTGTTGCATCTTTCCCATCCGTCAATGGCATGATAAATCAACTCCGAGTTCCCGTCACACACCCCCTCCATGAAGGCCTATCACATAATTTAGTGGACTGGAGTATGATCTCGGCCGAAGACTGACAAGATCTTGTGAGGTATCACCCTTCTGGCGTGACTTGAAAGTTCTCGCTTCTGATGTCGCGTTTCTGTCACCACTATTAACAGTGACACCAGCGCATGGCTGCCTCTTGAAACGTTTTTTGGGTGTATTTATTCGCTCCTTGTTCTTGATGGAACCAGGACTGGGTTGCTTCTGAGGACGGTTTTTCTTGTTTGAAGTTAATCATAGGCAAAACAGCTGTGAGTTCATCAGTAGCACCTTTGTCTCGGCCGTGACCGACTCATCCTCACTGTTTGGGACTAGTACTTCTATGTATGTCCGTTCCTGATCAATTGTTTGAACATCCTTGTTTGAGACATCGTCAATGATTGGTTTCGATACAAATATCTTGAGCATGGCATATTTCTTACGTGTCTAGAACTAGTCCAGTGGCGAAATTGATTAGTTATCAGTGATGCTCGTTAAGCATGTTAGAAAAACCACAAAAATCTGGTTGACGATCAGAAATGTACTAGAAGGACAGAATCCTCATATATTCTCGTCTCTTTCTGCAGATCATGTAAGTAGTAATGTCACTAGACTACGCACGCTTCCTTCATGCTGACTTCCTATTAAGCAAAACCTTGCACATGGCCGAGCGAAAAGGCTTATGCCAACCGACTAAGGGTGACGTTACTATTATTAGCAGCTTATTCAGCCATAATATGGAATGAATAGTGCCTAACCATGTAGTCATAGAACTTTAGATGATTCCGAAAAAGGACGTGGCCTGGATTCAAAAAACGTTAGAGACTAGCAAAATGTCTATTCATTATCGATTACAACACTCCGCTAGTAGATAGATCAGATAACCTTCGCATCCGGCTTGCTGCACGGGATATCGAGTTATATTTCCAAATTTTGGCCTGTGATGTAAGATACATTGCAGGAAAAGAGACGTTCTGTCAAAACTACAGGTGTGCTACCCGATGAAGAGGTGGTACAGACACTGAGTGTTCTAATAAAAAAACCTGGGAGATAGGCGAGGCGAGGCAAGGCAAGAACCCATCCTTTAGTAGATCACCACTGTCAATAGGTTGATAGTATTTATAGTGGCTGTGTTGGGTTGCGGCTAGTGTCCAGCATAGCCTATACCTAGTGTACATGTGCTTTTAGCAATTAATCAGTCGTCTTGTTAAGATACAAAATATTCGAATAATCCATTTAACTATTAGTAACTATCGGTAAGTCGCTCAGAATCTATCACCACAACAGATATTGAATTGCGTAGATGAACATCAGACCTTTTGACTTGGCTTCTCACATAGTGTAATGACCAAACGGAGAAGTCATCAGACTAAGCGTCGCTTCCCTCCTTTGTATGCAGCAGGCAGTAAAACTCAAAATTCGCGCAGCCGACGGCCATGCCTTGGCTATTCCGCCACTTATTCGTTTCGAGATGAGCGAGAACAAACTGTAACGTTACATCATTTACTGTTGCAAGGTTTAGTGAGCTCAACTACGCGGATAAAATTCCGATACAACAAAGCATAGTCATAGTTAATTACACAACCGAATTGAGACATTGAACTATCAAAAGAAACCAGCACTCTGCAACGAGACCTTTGTCTGCCTAATGTTGCAGGTCTTTGGGAATCATTACTCAATACGTATTCATTAGACTTTTGACATAATAAACGCATAAGCGGTGGGAAGTTTTCTGAAGTGAAACAGTGTCTACATACATGGGCAAACCGTTTAAACGGTCGAAAATTTCTCAAACGGTTGAACGGTTTAAGAATGTTGCAAACGGTTAAACGAACGAATAAACGATTTAAACGAACAAATGAACGATGCATACTAGCGAGAAATATCTATAGCGACTACTTACTCTAATACCAGTCGAAATAATGACCGCTATCATCCTCAACATCCTGAGAGTCACCTTCCGGCCGCGGGATTCCGATTAAGCCCATCCCGTTCTCATGGAGAGGCCGTATAAGTCCCTGACGCAGCCAATTGCCCGTACATTCAATCATCTCGATAGTTTTGCATGTGATTCGTAGTCTATCCCATGAACATGTCCTTCTTGCCCCGGAAAACGTCCTCTCAGGCTCCGACGACTCCGCTGGGATAGACAGAACACTAATCGCCATACGGCTAAGTTTCGGATACTGCCTTCTCTGCTGTGGCTGACACCACCATCCCAGAGGCGTACAATCTGGAGGGATATCTGTTGCCATGCCATTAATGAAGCTGGTAAAATCATCACTAACACTCGCATTGATAGTCTTAACCTCCAGCTTCTTTGATAGTATCGCGAGTTGATTCTGCTTCTTTGCCAGTGGTGGCGGCATTGTTGTAGGAGTAGAAAGATATTCGCTGGGGGGTCCGTGATTGAATTCCGCTTGCCAGAATGCTGTAGCCGAGGCAATAGTATCTTCATGCCATTCCTCTGGCCAGTTCTGCTTGATATACGCGATTCGTTTGCGGGGATCAAGAAGGAGAGCGGCGGCGTATACAGGGACCTCCTCAGTTGAGCGGTAGTATTTAGAAAGGATAAACCATCCCATATCAATAGCCCGAACTATCTGTTCGTCTTTGTGTTCGCCCGATTGATATATCTTCTAATAAAATGTTAGTGATCGACTTGATGTGGATAAATTGAAGGGTAGTTACCTGTTGTTCTTCATAATGGAGTAACAACATATCCATTAGCATCAACGATTGTGAGATAGACGAGTCGTCTCCTTCTGCGTACAATGTTGCTGAAGCAAATGGTTGAAGAAACGTGTGTGCTTTGCCTAGCAATTCCCAATCTCTAACCAGTAGCCGGCTGTCTCCAATAGCATCTTCGTGATCAGACATGAAGGACTGGATTTTGTCCTTTTTTCTAATCGCACGATCAATGACCTGGTACCAGGACGACCAGCGGGTGCGGTTATCTATTCCCAAACGCAGTCCTACTGCCTTATCCCACGCATTCTGGTGGAGGGTTGATGACCTTAGCCACACAGCTAAGCCATGAAGCTTGCGCAATGCAGGGACATTTTCAACGCCGCTAAAGTCTTCAGTCGATATTACGGAAGCATTGCTAGCTGTGCTGCCCTTGCGCCTGTGCTTTCTGGCCGGCTCTCCGTTCTTTCTCTTTGCTGTATTTCGTTCGGCAGCAGCCTTCTTCCGATGAGAAGCTAGGACCTCAGAAAACTGAGAAAGAAGCTCCTCTCCAGTGACACCGGATGCTGCCTCGAGTGCTGCGACGAGAGCCTCTTTAGAAGATGCGAGAAGGAAGGCTTGAAGAGAGAGGTTAATAATATGCGCGATACAGCGTATGCGACGTCCTTTTGCATTGAATTTAATCTATTTAATGTCAGTCTATAGCCTACACTGCGTAATTGACTAACCCCATATCTACTTATTAGCTTGCGTTGTACAGACTCGAGGCATGTGTCGTTTGACGTCGCGTTGTCACCCGTGTGCCATCCAAGTTTTGACTGTATCCCATATTTCTCTAGAGTATCGATAACTGCCTGCGCTTGAATTTCTCCAGAATGACTCTCTAGACATTCTGGAAGAGATAGTAGTGCCTTACAAAGCTTATAGTCTTTATCTACCCACTGTGCACACACAGCAAGTAGAGAGTGTCTATGTGGCGATGTCCAGAGGTCTGTTGAGATATGGATCGGACTTGATGTGGTGGTAAGGCTGTCCTTAATCTCGCTGCTGTAAAAATCATAGTTTGCTGCAATGTATCGGACCATCGTGCGCCGTGAGGTGATGAGGGAGTCTTTGATGTATGGGTTACACGCGAGAGCTAGTTGTTTAAACTCATTCCATTCAATAGCCGAAAAGGGCACTCTTCGACGCGTGAGTATACTGATTAATGCTTCCTGATATGCTTGCGGGTTGAAAGCATTTCGAATCGCATCCTCGCTTGCTATAGGGCGAAAATGCGCGGAGATTGAGCGCTGGGTACCCGATACGGACCTGGTGGATCTGGATGCGATGGGATGATTGTTTCTGACGTGATTGGCAGCATTTACCTTGTGGTCGTATCGTTTATCTCGACACACAGTGCAAGCATAGAAGGTTTTACCTCCAGACTTGCGTCCGCGTGTATTTGAACGCTCCTTCGTAATCTCCATGATTGAGAGGAAGTTTGGCGGTAATCTGTTGACATCTTGGGGGGTTTCCGTAGCATTAACAATAGATGATGCGCTAGACGACATATTGATAGCCAAAAGATAACTTTGTGAACTTGGTATAGTTAATGTTTTGAGACTGATATCGAGGAACTTCGAAGATTTTTCTATCGCCAAGGCTGAAACCCCGTTTAACCGTTTAAACAGTTTTCGAGTATCTACAAACGGTTAAACGGTTAAATGTATATAAACGGTTTAAACGAAACGAACGAACGAATGAACGAACGGAAGTGCCCATGTATGCGGAATGCCACGAAGCCTACAGGCGCCACCTTCAGAACAGGTCCGAGGCTGGGGCCGATGGTAGCTGCAAAAACGCATGCTACTCCATGCTCGCCATCCGCAACCCAAACGGCTTCGCCTCCACACTGAACACAGCCTCAATCAGCGGGCGTTCGTGAATCGCGCCAACCTCGCTACCGCCATGGCCGGCTTGGATACCAAATATCTTATTGTCACCCTCGTCCACAGTTTCGTCCTAGTCGGTATACAATAGCGCCTGCGCGTAGTGGATATACTATATCGACGCCACATGGCCTTGGATCCTTGCTACCATGGCTTAATTTTCATCCGTACGCCCGTTTCAGCCGGTTCGGTTCGTAATCCACAGCTCGGTTTTCGGTGGCCGGTCTTCTTCCCCCCTGCCCCCTCCGGCTCCTCCTCTTCTCCCTCACTCAATGCCCTGCGACTATCTGCACCTGGTTTGCTTCACCAGTGCGCTCCCGTCATGCTTTCCTTTGCGCACGGGTTCCGCTCACAGCTTCTCAGGCTCTGTGTCCCATACATATACACCTCTTCCCACCACTCGCCCAGATCGCCGTGCCCAGCTGCCACCGAAACAGGCGGCTAAACCATAGATACCATATAACCAGCTTGCCTCAATCGCGTGGCACGTATCGGTGAATCACCTCGATCCGCCATATTTCCTCAATGTCTTCATGATATCGCGTGACAGATTCCATCAGTGTCTATCCTCGATGAAAATTCCTCAATCCTTGGTGGATTCTGAATCAGCCCATCCAGACGTGCCCTATTGCACACTCCAATTTTTTATTTCTCTTTTTTTTTCGGAGACACCCATTTTATAGAACAGTAGTATAGAAAGGTAGTCTTGAATGTTCTCATCATCAGAGTTTTGATAGGAACGAATCAAATGAGATAAATATCACAACATGGTCTCGGCGCCTAGAGATGCTTCTGGGTAGATTCTGCGAGTCCGACACCAAATTCTTGAGCGATGCTGAGAGCGTCCGTCAGGGCGAGAACTCTGATGGCCCTTGTAATTCGGACACAACGACTTGAAGTTGGTCAGGTGCACTGATTCTTCTATCAGTAGCACATATAATGCTTTCCTCACGACCCAGCGTCCTTGATTAAGAAAAAAATTTCAAGCATTGCTTTTACCTGCACGGATACCCTAGTGGATAGGTTACGCTAACAGTATTTCTCTACGACTATCGTTCATATCGAGATAAATGCCTCCGTAAAAGTCCCGTCGACGCAACGACAGATCACGAGTACTACTCTTTGACCATACTCCTCAAATGTGTTTCTAGTTCATTCCTTGTCAAATGATCAAAAGGAGAAAATTGATAGCCCAGTGCGCCAAAATCCTCACGAACCATGCTCCTCCGTTTCCCCTTTACCCAGTCTGGCAATTTTTGGCAGCGGATATCTTGATTCCAAACTCTCAGTCTGACGGAGTTGGATCCCAGGCAAGCTGTTACCACGTACTCTGGAATAGCATTGGTATCATGATCACCATGCTTCCGTACCACCCCAATGACAGCAATCGGACTAAAATTTTTGTTTCCTTGTTCGGATTGCACGAATCTTTCGCCCAACTCTTTCAATTGTTGACTGCTCAGTTCGTATCTGAATGTTGCGCGATTGTTTGTATGCTGCATGTGAGCTCGAAATTGGCCAACATAGTGTCGAGGGTCGGCAAGCGGTGGTATAGAAGAGGTGGCAGCTGCAGGATCAGCTTCTTCGTCATCGTCGCTGATGATTGGGATAGGATCTTCTTTTTTGTCACCTAAGTGAACCGAGTGAGCTTCATCTAAACCTAGGCGCACGTCCTCTTCCTCATCGTCACTAATGACTGGGATAGGATCATCTTCGGTATCACCTGGGCGAGCCCTGGTTGAATACGAACGCGTGTTATTCTTAGCGTAACAATGCACATGTGGTTCAGGCGGTCGTTCACAAGGACAACTGCCTGTGGTTGAATCGGTTGGATACTGAGCGTCCATTTGTCTAGTCCTCTTCTTAGGGTATGGAGAGGGCCCATGCGGGTCCCAGTCGCCAATCTCGTCCGTGATCTTCCATGTGCTTCGCCATTTATCTTTAGCACGCTCCTTCAGCTCGATAAAGGCGTCCGCCTGTAGGTGTAGGCATCTTGCCAAACGATCTACGAGCCCATTGAGCGTGGCCAAATCTACGCCTTCAGGTGCGGAGGACTCCATGCGGTTTAATCTGTCTGGGTGGAGCTTCATCTGGGCCTTCTTCGCAAGCCTTTTAAGGTCTTCAATGTTGTTAATGCTGCTACTCTTGTCGTGAGGGTCCAAGCCAAGGTTTCGATAGATATCGAAGTCTTCTAAACCTGGACCGGCGAACTTTTCAGACAAGCCAACCATGTTGATTGAGGGAGCTGTGGGAGATCAGAAGAGCAATGTGGGCAGATAATGTGGGAGAACAAGTTTGTAAGCGTCAGAGCAGTTTGATTTGTGAGGTAATCGAAGTGAGTGGACAGAGTGGAAAGATCATGTAGAGTGGCCAAAGATTCGCGTTCACCTAGAAAAGTGAAGGCACGGTTCAACTGCAAACGCCCTCTAGATTAAAACAACCATCACTACAAGTAAGAACCCCGGAGAGTAATTGAAATCACTCGTTTACCTCTGGGCAGTGAAGGAACTTAAATGCATGCTCGTTGCCAAATCTATGTATGGTTCTTCAGGTTGACCAAGTAAATCTATATCATTAGATTTGGGGGTCTCCAGCTGCCTCCAAATTGCAATGAAATTCATGGCGAGCACAGGAGCGGCTGTAGCCCGGCGTTGTAAGACATAGCGCTTTGGCGGAGGAGGCCCGCGGCCTCACCGCCATCACTATTGCATACTACCTGTCATGGCCACCTTTCGTTGCTCTGTTCTGGATGTTGTACTGTAAGACAGCATTTTGCAGCTAGTCTTTCTCGATCTGCATTGCGCATTATTCGTCAATTGAGCGGCAACATCCAAATCGCAGTCTCTTTGTCTGACGACAGACGCGCGTTCTATAGAACCCTCCAAAACGACTAGTTCATACTGCCTACTAGTCTGTGAGGATTCGAAGCACTGTGCATCCATCACGAACAGCGTAGTCCGTCGCCGCTGCTCGAGCGACGGACGCCTGAGCGCCCTTGCCCTCATTGACAGTTACGTTCCTCACACGGTACGGAGGAACTAAAAACAGAAATGGCAAGAAACTACAAAAGGCGCCCGGAAAAAGAAACTATGAGCACAAGCCCGCAAGTGCAGACAACCTGAAGTCACCAACGCTGATCCGAACCGAAAAGGAAAATCACCATTCGGGAGCCCGGGCCTAACTCAGATAGGCTAAGCTCGCTTTTTGGCGGCTTTGGAAGCTACTGTGCCACTTTCGTAGTACAAAGGGCGAACAACATTTAATGCCCAGCTCCCCTCCCCCAAACAGGCCTCACGCCCCGCCTCACGCCCCACCTCACGCCCCACCTCACGCCCTGCCTCACGCCCCGCCTCACGCCCTGCCTCACGCTTAACCCTCTCCATGCCCCCTCCCAGCAAACAAAGATCCAACGCAACGTACCGAGGGCGTCTGAAAGCCCACAAAAATAGCGGGTTTTGTGGTTCCAGTTTATCGTGCAAGGAGGTCCCTCAAGGACACACTTATTGCCAATCTCATAGAGACCGTAAAAACCAGAGCCAAAGAGCAAGACGCGCTGGAACGAATACTCTTCCGGCCCAGGATAACGACCTCGATGAAACTCACCGACTCTCATCATCTGCACAAGCAGCAGCGATCACGCCTTTTCCCTATGCACCAAATGCGTCGTGGGAGAAGCTGATATGGGTTTCTTTTCCTGACACGAAACCACTCAATGAAACCGCGACTCTTGCTATCCAAGTCTTCTTTGAAGATCGCGAAAGCCTGGGTCACGATCCCTGGCTAAGACAAGCCTCTTCCATGGTGTTGCGCAACACGGTTGTATCCATGGATGGTGAAGGATCCTATATACATCAAGGCTTGGTCACGCTATTAGCCACGAAAGCCAAAGTGCAGACTTCATTTTCTGTCGACACGCATACATGGGACTGGTTAACGCAACAGCTTGAGAGCAATCTGTTGCTTAGCTCCTGCACAGATGAGAATGAAAAGCCGTTACGAAGTGTATTGTTTCTGCACTGGACCACTGACGAGCCTACCAACCCTACACTTGACAGCGTCTACAGCGCAGTACGGCTGCTGAAGCACATCCATCCAGCATCGTTCCGGGTGTATCCAAACGAGGAAGAAGCGCAGCAGGAAATGAACAAGCTAGGGGACATCCGTGCCCTAGATGATATAGCCCAGTCATCCCGACCAGAATTCTCATACCGGCCCAGGACATGTTTTGGTCATGGCCCATGCCAGCTTCGGGACCACGAGCAAACGGTACACAAGAGAACCCAGAGTGGCTGCGCTGCGCACGTCCATATTTGTAAGCGTGAAGAACGACGCCAGCTTACGTGTGATCGAGAGACGCATGCGCAGGAAACCTTGCCACAGGGATATGGGTGTCGGAAAACCAAATCACGCAAAACGGGGAATTCTAAGTTAAAAGCAAGTGTTGCGGATCGTTCGGTACATTGGTTCTATCAAGAATTTGTCCCATCCCTCCCAAGATGCGAGTTCAGAGTTTTCATTGCGACTGAACCAGACAAGAAGGGTCTTCGTCATCGCATTGGCAAAGTCATTGCCATTGCAAAGACTTCGTTCAACAAAGACACCCAGGCACTTGCAGTACGAGAGTTTCTCGCGGAGGACTTGGAACCCGAACTTAAACCGTCGGATCTTGTTCGATTTGCACTCTTCATTTTCGAAAGTTTACGTGCGCGGCCCGACAGCACAGTCGTTTTCGAGTCGCTTGAGGTGGGAGTTCGCCTCGATATCGGCGTTGCAGACATGGAAACCATTGGCAAGTCGTTCTTTGTTAATGAGATCACGCGGTGGTATGGAGCCCATTACTTCTCTCACAACGTATGTGCAGAACCGAAGACACAAATCTGCAAAGCGTTTGGCTCTGCGTTCAGTGATTTTCTTAATGTTGGTATGTAATGTGTATCATAGGTATATTGCAGGCCCGGTCACTAGTCTGGTGCTGCGATTAGGTGTCTTACTACTAAGGCGCAAGGGATTTCCCCATGTAGGTTCGGACGTTGGTAGCGTATGTTTTGATTCTTCTAGGATGCGGCGTCAAAAAATACGATCGCGCCAAGCTACGAATTCTTACGAGTGGCATGTGAATAGTAGGCGATGCATAAGCAGGACAGCAGATTTGTTGATCTTTGTGCTGCTAGAGGCGATCGTGCTCCTTCTCTTGGTCATCTCGTGGAATTACAACCTGTATTCTATTCGTCTTATCCGTCTGCTAGATTTGTTCATATTATATCATGATCAAACCTCAAAACTAGCTGTCTTCGTTAAAATTCCGCGGCTTTTTCCATGCGGCCCATCTATGAAGCGGATGGTTAGCAACTCCGGCCCCGAGGTGCGAGCAGTGTCGAGCTAAGCGTTCAACCAAATGAGGTTGCTGCCATCAATGAACAGCTTCAGTCTCAGGAGACTCAGCGGCGTATTGGTCTTCAACCACTTCGTTTGCCATCCATATGCATATCGAAACCTCAGTTGACTCCGATCTCGGAATACCAGCGTACCCGGGCAACAAAGTCTTGCATTTCCTGGATTGTATCTCAGCGGTCGCGCCGAGTACCTCACACCTCGCCAACAGGATATCAAGTTCACGGAATACGCTCGGCACATGATGCTTTACAAGGTTATGCGCTTCATCCAGCATCTGAGGTTCCGTTGCGTTGCTTTCAGCACCATTATGCAGCATAATAGCGACGACAAAGCAGGTTTCTTTGTGAAGAAGATTGTTCTGTAGAACAAGGACCTAACATTGGACCACCTCCGCAATGCGTTTGGCGAGGATAATGATGAGTCGCGTCGAATCTTGAACCGCATGACGCGTTTTTCTGCGAGCCTCTGAGGTACGCCTCCACAATAGGCAGGCAGGATGAAGATAGTCGAAGCCATGGTACGCATGCTTGGTTGCCCAAGTCTTTTCCTGACCTCTAGTGCCACCGATCTTCATTGCAATAGTCTTATGCGACATTGACCACGGTATGATGAATGGAAGGCTGCGTTTAGCGATGCCCGCGTCCAAATCGCTAGTGAGAATTCACGCAACGATCCTCACATGGTCGCATATCACTTCTACCGCCGTCTCCGTATCTCTCCAGATGAACAAGTATAGGGAAATTTCAATATGGTCGATTACTGGAACAGGATTGAGTAGCAGAAACGTGGCAGCAGTCACGGCCATGGGCTCTATTTGGTCAGCGGGCACACTTAATCTTCAGCGACCATCAGCGAGGAAGCGCAGAAGGTGTTTGCGGACATCTATGGAGTTAAGAATGTTTCGATAATCAGTGAGACCTGTTGTGGGGTTTCTCGCACCCCGTGCACGGAACCTCTTCAGCTCTTCGGTCAATGCCCTAGCTTGGTGACGGGCGAATCTTTTGAGCTCTAGGATGAAGTTAGTTCAGGCCTGTATTAGAGAAAGAGGCTATATCCTTGTTGGTGCTGGCCCTGTCACGCAGCAAAATATACCTGAGTAATAATAATCATCTCTTTCTTTGGGCCCGTGTGCAAGGGCAGCTTGGATTTCTAGCTTGACCTAGGCCTGTAGCTCAGACGTGAGAGTAGAGAGTGTAGCAAAGTCGCACTCTGGAGGTACTTGTGGCTCTCTAGGGCTGTTCTGTACTATTAAAACTACTACTAGTAGTAATTATAAGGAGAACAGTTACTATGTAAGATAAGAGTGCGACTCTATGAATTCATCTCGCCTGCATTTAATAATGATAGCAATCAAAACACCATGACGAACCTATATAAATTTACACTAGCCAATAGTTTCACATGGCGCTTTTGTTTTGCGCGAAGAGGAGACGGATACCGCTACCTACAAATACATCCATAAATTTGATGAACTCCTACCAGCCGCCAGGGTCACAGATCGGTTAACAAACTGGTGTACGCAGATCCATTGCTCGGCACTTGGAGGATGGAGCCTTAGCATTCTCGAACGCCAAGCACACCAAACAATTTTGTTTTTGATCAAATTGCTGTTGCATGGGCTTGTAACTCAGTGGGCACCGCTCAGGGGTGGCGCAAAGACTATAAACTGTAACTTGGGCCAATCATATAGACTATCCGATTTTTGGTTCTTATCGAAAAAATAACAGGTGAAAGAATGACTTCGTGCATCGCAAGTTATCCTCCATGAACAGGAGCTGCATATGAGTAACAGAAAGTTACTCGCTTCTAATAATACAACTCGTGTCTACGTATAGAAACTTGGGCCACGCATCGACAACTGTTCCAGCCTGTCCACAATGCAGTCCTTAAACTTTCCTTTGCCCCATTCCATTATGTGACCAAGAGAATTTACCAGCTCTTCCGCACCGCGTTGTTTTGTAGTACGCCACGTCTGGAGATTCTGCATGTGAAACGTATCTTCAAACTCAAAATGGACCCATAGCTCATATACAGGCCCCTCGTTCACGATGGAAAAAACAAAGCGCTGGCATGGAAGATGGCTCTATCAGCGTTGTCGACTGTTCTGCGAGGTCCGATTTGAGGTCGGTGCCTGGTCCACGCATGGCCTGGTAGCTGAGGTCCTTCAAAATCTTGAGCATACATGCACCGCCGACAGCAGCTTGATTCTGTGCACTGATGAGGGTCCCCTTCGAACTCCAACCTTTTGATTCAACAATCAAAAATGGGAACCGTATACCTATCTCGGCCGCATGGGGGTCGCTTATTGTTGACCCGGCTGCCTGGTGGTCGACGAGGAGTCGCTGATGGTTGAGTATGAATGCAGTGTCCGCGAGTCCGACAGTTATGTCTGGTTTCGGAGTCGTAATGTAGTATGGGCCTGCCGCCTGAGTGCTGGTAGTTGATGCTACCGATTCAGAGTATGAAGGCATGGATACCGACCCCAAATTGTCAGTAGAGTCGGTTGTAACGCGGCTTTGGGTGAAGCTAGGAAATCTGGGTTGTGTCGATGTGAACGTGACGGCCGTTCCACGCTGGACTTCATCATGCGACTCGTCAAGCAATGAAGCTGTGGGTTTGAGGTCTGAATTCCAGACTAAAATATAGCGTTAGCTTTCGTATTGTTAACCCTTTGACTGGGAAAAATAAATTTACCTTTCTCGGTAGCGTGTGCTCCTACCACGCCATTTGAAAAATCTGCTATGGCTCTCACCACGCTGCTCAGACTCAACTGCCAATCCGCCTCAAGCGAACAATCACTAGCATTCTTTTTTGAGTCGGCTAGGAAACGCTCTGCTAGGCCGGTGAATCGTGATTCTGTTTCGAGTGTATTTGGAGCTGCCACCCGATCTCCCCATGACCTTATCCCAAGTATTCCTCGCACCTGTTCGTCGATTCCAACGGGGAGCTCAGCCAACTGCCCTATGTGGACACCAGCATGGTGCATGTTTCGTTTTCGGTACGTTTGCGGTTGTGGAATTTTGGTTCGAGTGGAAGTTTGAGATCCTTGTCCATGTCTGTGCCGGTTCATGCTGTGGTGCAAACTGATGGATGCGCTTCGAGGTGTTGAGGGGGCCATCTCCTCTTGCTTATAGATACATGAACAGTTGCTTAACCAGCGTTCGACTAGAGATTGGGTATGTTCATACCCACGCTCGAAGGGTGGTTGAGGGATATAGCTCAGTGCCTCTTTGGACAAAGAGGTCGGTGGCTTCCTTGATATAGACACGTATGGTGCAACAGCGCTGCTCCAGGAACGGCGGTCAGGAGCGTATGAGAGTTCTCCATCAGAGGCTTGTCGCTCCATTGCAGCAGGAGCGTGCTTTCTCCTTGAGTTTCGAGATACTGTGGTGTTGGACTTGTGGGCAGGGAAGTTCGTGCGCTTCACTTCCCGCAACCTCAAATTGTCCGCATTCTCACCAATGAGACGGAACAGGAAGGGTCAGACAGCCTGCAATAGTAGGGCAGCTGCAACGATACGTGGTTGTAGTTCCTGCCGAACCTATCATTTGACAGAGCCAAACAAATTCTTTCACGAAGAAACTCTGTAAGCTTTGATCATTTATAGTGACGAATCCATCACCCAATAGTATCTTTTACAGTTCCAACGCTAAATGCAATCACGGCGCTACCAAAGAAGGCCCTAGAAAGAGGGGACTTAAGGGTCACAGATCTGAGCTCGCCAGGCATGTAGCCAATTGGAAGGGAAGGGAATAGTTGGGGCTGTGGTTTGCATGGGTTTTGGTGATAAACTATAGGTAAGTGCTTGGTGACGTATACCAGGCACGGGCTGAGGGCACAAGCAAGAGAGGCACAAGCCCCACTTTTTCTTTGCCATTCAGACCCAACTTGAAAAGATTCGCTCTGGATCCGGGAAGACGGCAGAATTCGCGCAGCAAGTGCGTTGCCGCGCTGGTCGGTATTGCCAATCAACGAGACGGAACTTGTTAGTTAACTATCTATGAATAGTTAAGCAAAATTTCATGCGAAGTCAAAAGTGATTGCCAAGAGTGTCTGTGGCTAAGGTGGACGCTTGCATTGATTAGCGCCGGCTTTACTATCTTCCGCGCCACTAGTTTCGTCCTTATTTAAGGAGCTGGTTATATCATATACCAAACGTCCCGTCCAACCCAGAACCTTGCGCTATGAAACCCCGTCACCCCATTTTTTCATCTCTCGAATCACTTTTCATCAAATTTTTGAAAATGCGACGAACTCCCCGTGAAGCCCGTTTTGAAATCAAGCCATCGGATACAACAGAGTTTATTGCCGCTGGAGGATCAGCATTGGTTTATGGCATAGACGCTAAGAGCGTTCGAAAAGACTTTCATGACGATGGAGCATGCAGGGCAGAGTGTGAAGTGTATAAGCGGCTTGGCACACACCCTCATATCGCCAAATTGCTGAAAGTACGAGAGGATGGCTCTCTGATTCTTGAGCGAGGGACGTCTCTTCGAACGATACTTCAAGGCCACTCTGCACAAGAGATACCGATACAAACAAAAGTCAAGTGGTTGAAAGACGCAGCTGAAGGCTATTTGTATTTACACAGCCTGAACATCATTCACGCCGATGTTGGATGTCATAACTGGATCCTGACAGCAGAGCAGGATGTAAAGTTGATTGACTTTGAAGGCTGCAGTGTTGATGGGAAAGTTTCACGTTCTTGCTATGAATGGTTTAGCAATGGCCAACTCACGCCCGGGGTGAGTAAACAAACAGATATCTTCGCCTTTGGCTGTGCTGTTTATGAGGTCGTCACAGGGCAGCCACCACACTATGAGCAGATAAAATTCGAAGACCGGTCCATTCGAGTTAAAAAGCTATACGCTAATGGAGAATATCCTGACGTGACACATCTTCCTCTTTGTAATTTAATGCAAAATTGCTGGAGAGGAGCTGTGGGCTCCATGGCTGAGATTGTTCGGGAACTAGAGGCATTTCATTGAAGTGTTTAAAATGGAGAGTATTATTATCGCTTGCTTGCACTTTCTCATAGTTATCAAACTCGACGGCTTGTACTATTCCAAAGATGTTAAACCTTCTCACAGCACCTACTTTAAAATTGTCTCCACGTACAGGATTCCCTTGGAACGGTCGCAGTATCTTTGTTTTGAGATTAAGACCGGCTTCACGGTCATTGCCTGTCTATGCGTATCTGCGTAGGTGATCGTTCAGCCAATGAGCATAGTAATGGAAGAAATATCGCCTTACATATTCAATATCGAAGCATGCGCCCGTGATTCTAGAATCGTGACATGCTAGGCAGTTGCCTCCGCGCTGAGACGCAAATATATCTTCGGCCGAATCGTGCACCGTAGAGTGACAACCTGTTTTATGCCCTGTTCTGTAATAAAAATCTCCCTGAGTACAATATTCAAAGAAGCGTTGTATTTTATAATGCTTCTCGGGTTGGCGCGGGCAGTTGCTAAATTCTCTCTTAGACTCCCAGTATCTGCACATCGTGAAAGGGTAATGTCGATCTGTCACTAGCAGGGTGAGTTATTGCATGTAGTAGAAACAAAGTGGACGCTCATTCAATCGAGCTTAGGAACGTTGTCACCTTTCAAAGATTATTTTGATGGTAGTATGAGATCTCAAAGGTAAAAGGCTGCGGACGTTGTGCACAAGTGTATAAGAGTTCCCTTTCGCCTTTTATATCCAGATTTTGGGTTGATATATGCAAATCGTTCGTTAGTAATTTGATTGTTGCTATTCTAATTTACCCAGTGATAGTTCCTTGTATGTGGGTCTCCCAATGGCGTTCCGCATGCATGTGAAACTGTCGGCATCCAAATTCTCCACGATCAACTAGCAGTATTAAGGGAAAAGGTCGGCGACATGTCGGTTCCGTACCGAGCAGCCTCACTGGACATGTGCAAGGCTTGGTGCAAGTGGTCTGGAAGAGATGAGACGTCGAGGTAGACTGCTCGCTTACAGCCTGTTAGCGAGCGCCAGATGCATGGGATGTGCATGGCCACTAGCGGCATTAGCGGGGTGTTAGATGATGAGCAGACCCCGTGCGCCCTTTTCCCCACTTTTGCTTGCTGGCTATTTCGCCCACCCTTTCGCCCACCCTTTCGCCCACCCTTTCGCCCATCCTTTCGCCCATCCTTTCGCCCACCCTTTCGCCCACCCTTTCGCCCACCCTTTCGCCCACCCTTTCGCCCACCCTTTCGCCCACCCTCCCAACAATCTCATTGCAAGATGCCCACTCATCTTCGCAAGGCATATACAGACGCCGAAGAAGCCTGGAAGCAGCTATCAAAACGAATAAAAGAGCTTGAAAATGGAGTTGGACTTTCACTAAAAGAAACCGAGCGGCTTCAAAGATACCAATCCCGCCATCTGGAAGAACACAACAAAAGATTTAGCACACTAAAAGCAGCTAAGAAATTGAAAAAATTCCTCGGAGGCGTTGCCGAATCGTATCGCCAACTATGCGTAATCGTTTTCCCTCAAGATAGAATATCCTTGACACGGCAACGTGTATTAGATGCTTTTATCGAACTGACAAATGCCACCGAACTACAATTATCCGAGCAAGCCCGATCAATCCTTGAATCCACACCAGGAAAACAGAAGAATATTCAAGACTCTTCAAGTTCTGTTAAATACGTGGAACCCAGCCCGGAATCAGTGACAAGGGTGTTTCCTTGCAAAACAGCCAAAAAGATTAAAACATTGAAGAAGGGGGGCCTTGAATACAAAGCGGTAACGATGAGTTTTCCTAAATATGGGAATGACCCAAAGTTGGATAAGCCCTGTTCTTGTATGATGACAATGGAATATTCTGATGAATACATGAAAGAGCTTATGAAGGCGCTTTTCGATGTTGAAGTGGACTTTGCATCAGGCACTCACCGAGGCGTTCAAGTGCTCCATGAAAGCGGGTTAGTGGGAACCATGCAGTTCTTGAGCCTGACGGGCGGTCAATGTGACAAAATCCTCGAAGTATTCGGAAAGGAAATACAGCTCGCGATCACTGAATGCAAGACATACAAAGATGAGGATAAGAGAAACAACAGAACAATGTGTATCTCGGCGGTCTGCGTGAAAGGTGAAGGAAAGGTGATACTGGAAATGGATGTAGATACAGGTCTTCGATTGGCAGAAATGCTTTATGTAACAAACAACTGATTAGACTAAGTTGCTGTATATTTTCCTTCTGTTATATACAACCTCATACCTGCACTAAGCTTCAACTGCCCCTTTTTGACATTGCGAAGCAAAGTTGGCACTTCTGTTCCCTCAGCATTTTTCTCATACACGGTTACGTTACTTCCTCTCCAATTTACTGTTTGGCCACTACCCTGTACTATAGAAACCTTGTTTTCTTTCACGTACTGCCAATCTATTGTTGGGTCCGGAGGCTCTACGTCATCTATTGTGAAAGTCTGGCAGCAGTTAGAGGATGAATTGGTGGGGAAAAGCAGACACACCATTGAAATTGAAACTTTCCACTTTTGCGAAATCCGATCTTTCCTAAACTTCCCTACGTATTTTCCTTGCCTTGTATTGAAACCTCTGATGACGCAAGAAGAGGAAATAAGGCGCTCTTTTTATGAAACTCTGAGGTGTGTTGTCATGAAAAAAAACACAGCACAATATAAGGGCCAAAGGCAAAGAAAGTCAACAGCGCGTGGTACGATGAACTTGGCGTCTGTATCGAGCACCTTTAGTCATGAGCCCCAACACCGACTGAGAAAGAGATGAGAGTATGTGCACTATGCTGGTAAGGTTTGCTGAAAAACGGCTTACAGTCTGCAACTTTGATACTCGAATTGAATGCACAGCCCGGCGGCTTGACTCGAACCGTTTGGACCCAGCGTGAGGGTGGTCAAGGGGGTTATTTTGCGCACAATCTACGGCAGCAGTTGACCGGAAGACCCTTTGGTGGCGTGTCTTGCACAATCCTAAGCAGTCGTCAGCATCGTCCAAATTCTCAGCTAGCGTGGTGCAAGAAGCGGGCACCTTATTCGTGACAAAGTCCTTCTCGAAGTGCCGATGCGCAATACCACCGAAGAGCAGGAGATAACCAAGTGTTGTTGCTACAAAGCAGAAAAGTGAAGCCGATGACGAGGATCAAAGAGGTGCGGGGCAGTCGTCCTACGTAGCCTCGCCAAAGTCTTAGTATAGCAATGGTGGGGTCTCTTAACCCGCGACTCCGAAATGCCCACTAGGAAATAAATGATCGCTTGGTTCTGCTGATTTTGAAGGAATAATCACGCTGGGCCGTTACGCGCCACAAATGGGGCAAGGTTATTGGGCGCGGCGAGCGAATGCTACTGCACATGCGCGTAGAGTCCTGGTGTTGCCGTACCATACTAAACACTGGCAGTGTAGTCAGCTTCTCCATATCGCGAGCGCAAGGCAGGCCGTACGTAAGAGCGCATGCAAGAGGGAGGCACGCGCACAAGCTCGTGCCCCGCACTAGGCTAACTTTGGCAATCCAATCAGGATGGAGCACGTCGACCACCACTGCTGGCAATGCCAGATACGTCGCGCGTCTATGATAGCTCTTCCGGGGCGAACCGCATATAGTGGCAAGGCTGTTCTAAGGCGGAGGTTGGAGCGTCACTAGATACAGAGTTGGCCATCTTTGGCAACTAATAGCTAGCAGTATTAGCTGTGCAGCGTATAACTCGCTGGCCAACTAGAAAAGCAAACAAGCAGCCTCAGCGGCGAGGCAGTCCGGGTAGTCAAAACAGAGGTACCAGAGATTATAGCCGCTCAAGGGGGCTAACTGTCATAGTATAAGCTTGTAGAAACGGCCTGCAGCGATCGTCTCCGCTTGTAGGTATGTACCTGCAGGTGTGCAGCACATTGTCACTAGTGTCAGGATTTTGGGTCTCCTGCCCTTGTCCGACCTTAACTAGTTAACTAACTAGTTAGTGAGGACGACTTAGTCAGCGTTGAGTATTCTTACCTTTTGGTTGTTGTAGTGCAGTGGCATAGAACTGTGCTTCTAACAATTAGGTAATGGAGGCGCTGCTAGCTCGCACCCAGCAAGATAGTACGTACCCGGCTCAAGCGCTCGCATCGTCTCACATCCTTGTAGAGCGCCATTTGGACCTGTCGATGCTACTCTGGTTGGTGGAAGGCACTATGACAGTTTGCTTAGTTTTCTCTGGCTTGCGTTTGGTGCTCACAGCGCTTCCGTGCATATGTAGAGGTTGGGACATCGTCGGACGGCATCGGTAGTGGACTCACTCCCTCGTACGTAACCAACGTTGTTTAGCTGGTTCAGCGATCGAGATTCTGTCAGCGTTGCTGATTGTTGCATCAGATACGGAGGTACCAGGCCGTGTGGCGATCACGCACAAATCAGTTCACCGACCAGCCCCCACCACTGGCCAGTAGGCTTAGACGATTCTATCGAACACCTACACGTATATAGAAGCGATAGTTAGATGTGTTGCGATGGATAGAACTAATGGTGGTGGTCGTATAACTTGTGAGGCGCATGATCGAGATGAAGCAGGTGTCTTCGCATATCTGATGGGAAGGTATCTAACTACCTAACTAATTAGGTAGGGCAACATAATTGTTACGATGGTTGCAGGCTATAATCTTGCTGCAAAGTCAAAGTAGTTACCTGTAATTTTGTCAATTACGGCGGTTGTTCTGTTACGAAGGGATGTACGTTAGTTAAGTAGTTAATTAGTTGTAATGCATGCTAATTAATCTGATGTTGCACATCTATGAAACTACAAGTTCGTCTTAGCACAGGTATGCCATCAATCATAGGAATTATGCCAAATCACAACACCAGATTCCAGTCGAGAGTGCGCATCCAATTTTAGAGTATTCTTTCGATGTTAAAATCTCTGCGTGACCAGTTTGTCCATTGTAAGCCCAGCCCTTGGACTCACGCTGGCATACATCACCCAGGCCTGGAAGGCTGGGCATCTCACATAGCCACCCGCCCACAAATACATGTTCAAAATGGTTGGCATCACCAGGCGCTAGAACTTGACCTAGAGTGCCTTCATTGAGCTTATGAACCATAGCCCCTTTACTCGATTCTACGGTGTCCATAGCGTTGGACTCCAGCTTAGAATCGTATGCAAGAGTCTTCATACCCATGTTAGTACGCCACTTGTTGACAACCTCCATATACAAAGCATTGGGGATTGCCACCTCGCTAGTAGGTGTGGGGAGTACAGCGCCAGGAATCTGGACAGTAGTCCAAGCAGAGGTCGCACTGCTGGAGGAAACAGGCGGACCTTGGTCTATCCCGATGGGTATTGCAGAAATGCTAGGAAGGGAAGACGGTGTGGGAGCGATCCATGTTTCACTCCTACAAGCTGCGTGCATTTCTGCAGCAGGTGCTTGTATGGATTCATTAGAAGCCGCATGGACTCCAGCTAGACAAATCACTGCTAGTTTTGCGAGCCTGTTAACCAACATTTTTATGGGATGAAAAGCACAAATCAAGATAGATGTGTAAGTTGCCCTGTGGGAAGTGAGATGTGCTGCATAGAACATAAAGGATGGGGGCGCTGTTTTGCTTACACGCAGGTGCATGGGGCACGTATGTAGCTATGTAAGCCGCTGATCAAGTTCGTACGTGAGACCTTCACAGAACCAGCTTGGCTTACATGTTAGATACAACCTCCAGATAAGCATCCTCCATAAGCTAATCAACAGCAAGGCAATTCGGTGAGCCAATTCATGTGTGGTGCAATCCCATACGGGTGAATACCACTTTTGCTTTTAGTTAATTAACTAGGCGTTATTTGAGCATAAAAGTATCATTTCATCACCACCAGCACCAGCCACGTAGATATAAGCTGCAGAATTGGCCTTTGATGTGTACAATGCGCTCGCACCTTGCTGATGCGGCAGATGTGTGCTATTGTTAGAACAAATATTCGTGCAAGCGTCAAAAGCGATTTTAGAATAGCATCAAATGGCGAATGTGGCAGGGTCGTATTAAGATTTGCGGCCTGTTGAAAACCAGAAAGTTTGCTATTGGACTGCCGTTCTCTGACTACTCGCTACTAGAGGTGGTGTTATACAATGATCTATTGAAAGCACTCAGCTTAACCATTAGATCCTTGAATGGGAAAGGCATGTAAGCATCGCCCAAAAGACCTTCGAAAAATAAAGCAAGGCAAAGAGGCAGTATATCAGGAAGAACACCTATACATGAACCTAGGAAGCCATCATGAAACATAGATACACGATCCTTAAAGGTCACTGGATCGGTAAGCTTTTGAACGAAATCCTCAAAGGGCAACGGTGCGACACTAGAGGAAACTTCCAGCTTTTCGAGGAATTTTTCCCAATGAATCAATGCTCGATACAACTCATCCAACTGAGCCTCCGAAGTGCTCCCGGGTTTGTGAGAGCATATCGTGTAAAGCTGCTTCGTGACTGGTATGACCTCATGTAGTATGCCAGTGCATTCTGGTTCACTATTCAGGAGACGAGTAAGGTCGAGTTGCAGCTTCTGCTTCATTTGATTGGCCGCAGAAAGACTTTCTTCGTCGACATCAAAGTTCTTGTTGTTGTTAGCCGTGTCTGATCTTACGATATTGGCGGAGGCGTCATTGGGCAGATTGACATTCGCTGTAGACGTGACTCCTGGACTTTCTTGAGGAGATCGAGTGCGCGATCGACACTGCGGAGTGTTTCCCCTTGGGGTTTTAGGCTGGTTAATTGCTGATTGGGAAAAGTGTCCTTCTGATTCGTCATCCACGAGAGATGTGAAAGAAAAGGTATCCGATGTGCTCGAGTCGCCTGAGTGTACTCTACTCGTAGATAGGCTGCTTTGTGCTGTTGAATTTCCCCCAATCACAAGCGGGGAATCACGTCTAGGGCGTTTCGACGGTCTGGGATAGGGTGCATATGAAGAACCCCCTGGCCGAACTAGCGAAGACCGCCGCGTGCGTGATGATGATGATGATGATGATGATGGTGCAGGCTCTAGTGATAGCTGTGCGGTGTCCTCCACTGCCTCTGAAGGAACGCGTTTTTTCTCTTTTTCAGATACATTGTTCTTGGCTTGTATAAAAGCAGCTATCCAGTGTCGAACCTCCAGTACAATACTGCAAAGATTAGTTAGTTAGTTAACTAGCATTTTTCTCGTAGCCACCTGTGGGCTGTTGGGGTTTACCGGTCTGTGTCGACACCCCACCGAGGGGGTTCCTCTGCGGAACGGTTACATAGTTGCGCCTTAGCCATATGACTTTTGCCCCATATACGCTCCCCAAAGCCTTGGTCTTTGAGTATATAAATAGCTTCCTCCTCGAGAAAGCATCGCCATGCAACTTCTCATGAAGTTTATCCTTATCCTTCAAGTACCTGTTGCCTACTTTATACAAGCATCCTGCAAATTCTTGAACATTCTCGTTTAAGAACCTTGGATACAAACCGTTGGGTTTCTCCGCGACGAGCCCCAGCCTCCGGATGTACACTTTGTGATGTTCGGCTTCGGTGTTTGGGAATCCAAGCAGATCGTGCTTGTCTGGTTCGGTTGGCATGTTGTCTATGCTTTGTTTGTGGGGGTTACGACCTAGCCAGCGACGAAGCGTACTGTTCGAATAGATAGGCATCCCGTACGAAGGGTCGGAAGTATCTGGCTTTAGGTTCGGTCGGCGGTCTAGGCGCTACGCTGTTACTACGTGATCCTCGCGACGATCGAATGGCACTACGAGTTAATGGGCGTATTAAAAGACATATTTATCAAACGCGATCGCTCAGGAAGAGGTGTCTTGCGCAACTGCTGTGGTTTGCGAGCGCGCTCCAAGCGTGACAGTCAAAATCACAGCTAAGCGGCGCGTCGCCGCTTACAGTATGGTGTGCATGGGCACTCTTACGATCAAGGCGTTTTGCACGAGCATGGGGAGGGAGATGGATGCCTAGCTGCAAGGGTTCGCCATTTTAGCCGCGGTTTTTTCGGTTTGATTTGTCGAATGATCAGGCTTGGACGCATGTACCAACCGACCTCTTGGGATCGCAGCCGAAAGTCATCCACGCGCGACTGCTCTTCACGATGACGCGAGATCTGTAGTGCCTAGCTCTCGCCGGCCTAGATCGTCTCATGGTTCATGCAGTCTCGCACGGTAACCACAAGCGGCTTTGCTACGTAAACGTTACCGAGCCTGCGTCGCTAAAGCATGGAGTAATACCAGTGTAGTCTGCCTTACGGTCATCCCACCCAATTCATTTTGGGGTTAGAGCGAAAAGACACTGACGCTCATTGTACGTATATTGTCTGGGCATCAATGCAAGGGCGCGGCGATCGGCGTTGCACACTACTGAAAGAAGAAGGTAGTTTGAGCCTGCGCTGCGCCTCACATCTTTTGTCGGCAAATCAGGTTTAGTCACGCTTGGGAAGTTGCTTGAGGTTGCACTGGCTGTTTCATCCAGTAGGATCGATTTATCGATGTTGAGGCACAGCCGAGCACTAGGCACCCGGGCCAAGACTTTCGGACCGGCGTCGCCGCCTGCGCCAAACACCAACCTCCTCCATTCCTCCTTTTATCTTCAGCTCGTCTCCATCACCACGCCCTCGACCTCGACCTCGACCTGGATCCGCACAACTTCGGCCTCGATCATTCTCTCTATCTTCAAACTCCACCTGCTTCCACGCAAACGCAAGTTGCCTACCGTCAGGCACTAAACCGTCCTTTTCGCCTGCATGGCGTCTTGCCTCCGTACGCCATCCTTACTGCAAGGCCTGACATAGCGGATTAGCTTCGTAACCCATGCGCTTCTGGTTCGCTCATTTCAGGGGCGATACTCACGCAAGGCACAGGCTGTGTGAACAAGGCGGGATTTTAGTGGTCTACGATCTGGTGGTTGCTGCTGCGACAGAGTCAGGGCTGCTCTTTGCCATCGACGCAAAAGCCCGGGTGGGCGGGTTTCCTTTGCCACTGTGTTCCACCTCGTTCATTGCAAAGGGGCACATCACGTTAAGTAGATGCATTTTGTAGAAACTACTGACGCAAAATGGCAAAACAGACACTCGTTCTTCAAAACTGTCCCGCTTTCGTGTATGCCGCGCACAATCCATCAGCAATATGGCGGTGTACGCTAAAGCTCGTGAATTGTAAAGAGGAATTTGGGTTGTTTCTCAAATTTAGTCAGCAAAACCCTGATGCAGATGGCGAGCAATTCGTCATCTTCCAATACGAAGGCGACAATTTTGTGCCTGGCCACAATTCGCTTACGGAGACCGATATTGTTGTTTCGGCTAAGGAGTTGATTGATATACAAGCTCGGAACGGAACCTCACGACCCCGAACAATGTCGCTAACGCTTAAAGAGGCATGTACTGTATGGTGCCCTAAAGAACCCAGTTATGTTCATATTAGGTTTGAAGACCTCTTGGAACTGGCACGGGCGACAGACGTACGCATCTTCTTTGACACTCGGCGGCTTGGAAACAAGTTCACAGATTTTCAAAAAATCTTCGAAGGTTCTCAGCAGTTCAAGACGATGCCGGTCAAGGATGAGTTCACCAAATCGCATCAAAAAGAAAATTGGATGATGCTTAATCTCAAGTTTGGTGTCGCACCTGCCGCATATGTTCCCATTGAAGACACGGAGACTAGGGCATTACCTTCTATTGAGTATGCGGGTGCTAGAGCATCTGTTGTCAAAGATGACCCGCCTTCATACGATGAGCATGTGCCGAGGAAACGCCCACGATGCGGTACGTGTTCTCCTCAGATACCCCACTAGTATATTGCTGATGCGCATATCATAGATCGTAGCCTATCACCCGGTTTTGTATGGAAGTGCCCCCGGTATTCTGCATGCTCGCCTTCGCCAACAGAAGTCGCCACTCCCGCATCGTTGCTTAGTTCCACATCTACTGTTCAGACGGACCATTTCCAAAACGCCATCACTTCTGGTGTCAGGGAAGCGCTCCCAACTGTGTTGAAGGAGAGGAAATTTCAGAAAATGCTTGCTTATTCGATAGTGTTATCATCTTTGCAGCCCGAACCAGATTCCAACCAGATACCAACTACGCGCACACGCCATCGTCGGACACCAACTAGCCAGTCTAAGTTTGAAGCATTGATTCAAAACATCGTTGATCAACAAACCTCTGAATCTCTTAAGTCTGCTTTGTTTCAGTTGGAGGAGATGGGCGATGATTTGAAAATCGAGTTGAACGTATTACAAGAGGAGATTATGGCCCGTCTAAACGACCTTATCAATCCAGTGCTAGACGAGTTTAAGGATGACTTAAACATTGGTTTCGAAGAGATAAAAGCTCGTTATCAGGTGTTACATCTCAAAACATTGGATACCTTCGACATAATTGGCAACCAGAAGCTGTGCAGACGTAGATGCCCTCGTGTGCCAGAACGAGGTAGGAGAGCGAAGTCTCTGTCTCTTTGAAAGAGGGGAGGACAGAAATGAGAGCCGGGCATGACTTGTACTTCTAGTATTTTAGGTCAGCGACTTATGTCACTTGTCATTCTTGAGGTGTGTATGTAGTAATATATATCACTTGTTTTGACCGCTTGTTTGCGCGTGGTTAGTGATGCACATGCCCCGTACTAGGATCAGGTCTGCTCTCAGAGCTCTTGTCAAATTGAAACTGACCAGTGGAACGCAAATAGCGGTAACGTAGAGGCGCTCAAGGCTGAAGAGTTATTATCACTTCAACTGCCATGTGTAGTTAGGCCGCCCGGTATCAAATGCCCAGAGTAACACCTATAGTTGAAAGACGAGAGGCTGGCATGTCTTAAAGATCGTCCCCTTGCATCACGCCTCCCAGGTAACTGCGAAAATTGGACAAAATCCTCTTGCTCACAGAAACAAGCTTTATGATGTCTCTCCATGAGGGTTGCCATATAGTCTGAATATGCGGATATATCATAAAGAGATCTGTGATCCCGATGGCTGACAGGAGTCCATCATATTTGTAGATTTCGTTTGTTACTAATTAGTGATACTCGTCTTCTCTTCGCGCAAAATAAAATCATATCATAAGGGAACGCAGATTCTAATCGCGGTACTCGGCGTGACTCAACGTTAGGCAAGGTCTATAAGCATAGAATCTTTACCTTTATAGAAGGATCAAAGGCCTGTTTGAGCTAAGCTTAACCCACATTGTTGTTCGCTTTGTGTTGATCAGTCCTACTTCTAGCACAAGAGTGTATTCGTAGATCGTGAAGAGGAAAAATGGTGATTTGTTCTTTGACCTCTACGGCTAACTACAGTTATATAATAAAAAAATAGCTCGACTTCAGTTCATGGGCCTAATACTGATATTTGATATGATCGTACATGCCCATTTCGCCTGTGTCCTCACTGTCCTCATGTCTCCTGGCTGTGACCTCCTTAACCCACCCAAGGTATGTCTTCGAATCGATGTTGCCTTCCAGACGATCTGTGATGGCTAAGGCTTGTTCAGCAGTAGCATCAACACTTGCTCCAATGTGTGGTGGGAGCTGGGCACAAGCTTCTCCTATCAAAAATAACTTTTCACCCAAAAGCGAAACGGAGCGACAGTCCCCAGAGTTCTCAGAGCCTTCAATGCTACCTTGATCACAGGGATCTACAAGTCCTTCCTGGAAAGAGGTTACTTTGGTCACCCAAGGAGTATCACAAGACGAGAGTACCGTCCAGATGGATGGTGGAACCTCATCCTTCGTCATCTGGAGGTGTTTCTTCCATGTCTCGTTTATTCTTTGAACACGTAAGTCGTCCTTGAAAAGCTCATCAAGCTCAACAAATGAGACTGCAATGTTTTCGACATCAAGTGAAGCGCCCTCCGTGTACGGATAGTACCAGCACCATTCCATACTTGCTTTACCGCTTGTATCAGCGATTTCGATGTTTGGAACTGCATAACTGCTGATCGTCAGAAATGGAGGCTCCAGCGCACTTAGAAAGATTACTCGCAAGATAATATAATGTCCGCCCATTCTCACAAAGACAAGCAAGCCTTCCTGAACGCCTTTGAGTTCTTGAGGAATGACTATACTGCCCGGAACCCGACCTCTCCAAGCCAAACGCCCTGTGAAATGGGGTTGCGCATTCGTTACAGTCGCTTTGCGTATGGTCGAGTGTGCACCGTCCGCTGCGATGAGGATATCAGCTTGCTCAACATGATAGGTCGCTCCGGTAGTATACGAAACTTTCCAAACATTATCCTCGTACTTTGCGTGGGTGACCTTGGTATTGGTGAGTAGCATTGGTTCTGATGTGCGGCTGTTATACTGAATGTCTGACAACAGGGTCCGATACACCGCATCCCAGGTAGTGGTGCAAACAGGATAGTTTTCCAAAGGTATCGTTGACTGTTTGGTCTCGCCTTCAAATGCGCTGACGATTGCAATCTCTTTGTGAAATATGGCATTCTTTATCAATTCGCCATTTGGGATGTGGGTTTTGAAGATGTTTATCGCCCATTCACCAAGACTTAGCCCGCCAGTACAGTGTTTGGAGTAGATGTCTTTGCTCTGCTCCAGTACCGTAACGTCATATTTGGCCTTGCACAGCTGAGCGATCATCAATCCAGCCACAGAACCACCCACCTACAGCTTGTATTAGCTCAGTACTCTCTCTTGAAGTTGACCTACAATCCATCCCAGTCAACGCACAGTCGGAGATAGAGGTCTTACAATGACAAGCTTTTGACGTCCAGACATGACAGATTTGAAAAGGCAGGTTACACAAGACGGTCAACATTTCAATGTACCGATACTGCCAATATAATATACCGTCATGCTTTTCACTTGTTCTGACTCGTGAATGCACCAAAAAAATTATATTACTACCTACCTATTTTAGCTAACCTGGATCCACGATCCTAGCCCCTTTTCGGATAGTGCAGCCCCACCTTCTCACGATCCACTTCCTAGCTGCGAGTCAGACTTTAGAAAAACACTTCTTTTACAAGTTTTTTACGGTGCTTGCAGATATTTGCAAAGTCACGCAATCAACCAGTTGATGAGGGTAGTAGATAGTTGAATACATTTCGATTAATAGCGGCTTTATGTCTATATGTACATGAAAGAGAGTTTGCTTTGCTATCTACTACTTGCAGGTATAGGATTGCAAAAGCTACTCGAATAGTGAGGATTTCGGCTATGGATCACAGAGAAACGAAGGGCTACTGGCTAGTTTGCGTGGATGTCGTTCGGTCAAGCAATCGTGAACTGCTTGGTAATACCAGGTTGATATGTTTTGTCACAAGGGACAGGTATCGTGGTTGTGTTCAAGACTGGCGAGATTGAGGATTAGTTATATTGAGTTGTTATGACGTAGACGAAGGTACTTGACTGTATTTTACCCTACTAGACTGCAGCTGCAGAGCTTCAGGACCGGTCCAAAAGCCGAATTTAGAATCATAAGTATTCGCCGGCAACAGCGAGATATAGTTTGAACTGCGAGAGGAGATATGATTGCCTATGTTGCCCGTCTTACACCTACTGAATGGATTATAAGTGCGAAGTCAGTTTATTGTACTACCAATCAGAAATCATAATAGTCACAGTTGATTTTACTCTGTGATAGAAATATCAGGTGACAGTGAAAACGAAATACCCTGAGGGTCTTATCTAATTAAGTGTTTGTACATGAGTATTATATGGGAAATGAATAGAATATTATACCGTATGAAAGGCTCATGCATAGATTGAGCCCAAGACTAGTAACGGAACCAAGGAGGATCTGCAAAGCGAGAGAAAAGCTTATCTTGCGTAATCTCATAAGAGTGGACTAACATACCCTAAACTACATACAATCAACGCTCAACGCTCACCGATATGCAATTTCAAGGCTAGTCTAACACTTCAGCGTTTTATTCCGCTGCTTGAGATATTTCTCGTTCGTCTTCACATAAAATTTGATTTTTCCTGACTTGATATGCGGTAAATTCAGTCGGACATGCCCTGTTGCAACAAAATGAAGTTAAAGCCGCTCATGCTTAGGTACGTTAGGTACGCACATATTGACCAAAAGCACCGATGCAACACAGCATTACAACAACGTGATCACGTGTATCATCCTGCAAGTTGCATCGATACGAAGCGCCCTCTAAGTCACCAGACATCACTATGAACAGTACAGAGTTGGTAGGCTGACAATGGGTTGCTTCGCCAAAAGAAGATTTCCCGCAGGCCATCAAACAAATTCGCAAATTAACTGCAGAATCCTCTCCTCAACCCAGCTCCAGAAGCTGTATAATCCATGATATAAGCCTTTCACCGAAATTGCCGCACACTGCCGCCACTCACTTGTTTGTAGCTCCACCAAAAGTGCCAAAAGCTGCCTACGGCATCTACAAGACAACACTCACAAGAGGAATTCTCCACCAGCCACCTGGCTCGCCTTCCAGCGATATCTCCAACCATGCAACGTTCTTCGCCTCCCAAATTTCCTTCCTGAACTCCTTGTCCTACTTCTCTGACCCAATATTACTAGTTTGTGAATATGAGCACCCCTTCCATCACCGGTACGACCCGTTTGATTGCGTTGACTTCTGATCCCAAACGCATAAAACTGACCATAGCTATTTGCCGTCCTCGAAGCGCTGGGCAAGATCGTTGGCGGTCCCATTGAGGTCAGCGCTATCGCTACAGCGCTGTAGAAGAGCAAGAGCTTCTATTTGAAAGACCCACTTCCGTAGGGCGTAGGCCAAGCGAGACTATGGGTGCCCTAGCTGCTCACCGAGCTCGATAACGCGGGGTTCGGTTTAGGTAGTATCCATCATGATGCAGGGTTTGATGAGATTTGAAGTGCTTAATCGGTCGGTCGGTCGGTCGGTCGGTTCTTGGCTGTTTCAAGGTTGGGATGAAGAGAAACATACTGCAAGAGACTAACTTTGTAGTAAGACCAGCCTAGAGACAACGACATCCTCATAAGAAGCGAGATGCAAATCGGGATAAATACCAAGGGTCACCGTGCAACCACAAGATAGGTTGAGGGGGATGTTGGCCATTTGGAGCTGGCCGAAATCACCACACGTATACAAGTTGTTGCGCAGTATTATTGCAGCTTTCATGAGCGGACCGTTCGTTTGAGGTTGCCTCACGAGAGCTGCAACCAGGGAAAAAATGTTGTTGCGCAACCTCGGTTACTGGGATCAGACATCCAGAAAATGTCCGGGGTCCTTGTAACCACGGACCATCAGCTCCCATGGGAGGCGCAATGATGTGCGTGGTAATATTATGGGGTATTGTTGGTTTCGCTGACTTCAAGGACGGCGCGCCCTCAAGTTAGAACACGTGCGCACGCGTGTGCTGTGGTGCTGCGACCAGCCCTGAGGAGGCTGCTGGTCGCTGCTGGTCGCTGCTGGTCGCTAGCGGTTGCGCACGTGTTGCGCAACAGTCGCGCAGCAATTGCCGTAGCGTGCAGCGCCTGCCGTGTGGTTGCAGCGTCGTTGCGCCAGCCCATGGAAGACGTTGGGGTGAGGCCCGCAGCCCCAAGCGTCGCACGGGCTGCCCTCACACCCCAACCTTTCGCACCCCACAGCGCACCCCACAGATGCTACATCGCACTAAATCCAGCTGCGTTGGGTGCGCAAGAGTCTACTTGATCTTTGATACAAGCAGTATCTACTTCACATACAGTTCCGACCTTCGTCGCACTGCTTACACAAACTTACAGTACCAAAGTCTAGAAATTTACCAAGAAAAAAAGGCCTCAAGGCTTGTTTGTGCCTCAGTCTTTTCAAGAAATTCAGGATAGGCTTTTACATAAACCTAACGGACTTAAGGTCCACTAATCTCTAACTTCCAACATCCGAGAATTGCAGCACATCTCATCATTCATGTCTCGAGTCAGAGTTTGTTGAGGCCTAAACGTCGAAACAGGAAGGTAGCAAATCCTTCAATGCAGCCTTTTGCCGAGTTCTACTGCCGTCGAAATAGGGCAGGGGCCGAATGCGGACATTTGCGAGATATCTACCAAACTCAAGTCGTAAAGAAGAACGAATATGAATTATATTCCTAGGTGCACTTGCAGGTAACACCGATAGCTTAGATAGTCAGAAGTCTAGCAAATGTTGTACTTCTTTCGACCATTTAAACCTTTCCATGCGTGGGTCCTAGGGACTAGCTATACCATGTTTTTGGCGAACTCGATAGCTAACTTCAGGGTTGCTCAAGGTGGGACTTTTTTTGTTGCTGGCATTTGAAAAATTTGCACATGAGTGGGTCATTCTGCGGGTCGTGGATACGATCTATAGTATGTAGCACATGCATACCCCACAGTAAACAATATACGCTCAAATATACCGAGATTAGCCCGTGTGTACGTTTTCTGTTGTCGTGAACGCATATCGTGCCATGTCATCGTTGGGAATCTAGCCCTTCAGTACGACATCCGAGACTTGAACTCTAAATAGTTTATTCAGACATGACAGTGTTATAGTAACAAGGTTAACAAGTTATTAAAGTGTCTAAGTATTGTACTAGCCTGTGTACGTTAATTATGTAGTGCAGCTAGCGAAATGTTAAGACAACGCACAAATAACACAGTGGAGAGGAGACAATGATGTTGGGTGATTTGAATTTAGTCATAGCCGTCGCCTCACCATCGACCCATTTGGGTGCAGCTGGAACGGCCATGGCTACAATGATGCTGCTGGTGCTCATTCAAACAAGTCTGACCGTACGTGCCTTCCTTATCTCGAGTCCCATCCCGACGTCTACGACGATGCTGAGAGATCAGGCAACTCGGGAATTTCCCCTCTGAAATATGCGCCTGCACGTTTGCTCTGGTTGGCCACATCCTGCATGCTAGAAGATACTTGAGGGCTCCAGGTTTTTGAAAGACTCTGCAGACAGGCTGTCCATGTTCCCTCAACCTTACTCTCGTTGAAACCCGGCATATTTGATGAGAGTTGAAGGACTTCATATGCAGCCATATCGCAGCCTTTTCCAAGATAAGGCTCGTTTCCCCAATAGGCTTGGCCAACGAGAAGAACTTTCCCGTCATAGAAAACGTTCTGCGCGCCGTCAAACGAAACTATCTTTGATATAGACAAACAGGTACTGTCCCTGATTAATGGATCGATCCACGAAGGCAGATTGTGAGCAAATCTTGCAAGATGCTCCTTCCACTCATTAGCGTCCGTGGTGTCGAACTTGGTGTGTATGCTTTCTGTTCCCTGGAAGTAGACATCGAGGTCCTCACAAGGACTGTACCAACACCATTCGATCTTCGGGATGCCCGTCTTCTTGGTTTCGTCCCGAGAGGGCTTGGCGTACCTGGTTGGAGTCAGTAACAAGTTTGTTGAGGCAAGTAGGGGAGGGTCACAGCAAAATGTAAGATCGGCTGTTCGGCATCTTGACAAACCCCAGGTCTCCCGCTTTCACAGACTCGAATCTAGAGGAACATTGCGTTTCCGGAATTTCGCCGCGCCACGCCACGTAGCCTGTAAACGCTGCCTTGAGATCCGGCTGTACCACACTTCGCACAAGCGAATGCGCCCCATCAGCTCCAATCACAAGGTCAAAGAGTCCTTGTGACTCTTGCTTCTTGTTTAGGTAGAATAACCTCATTTTTGAACCTTCTTCTTGGATATTGGTGACTTGGCAGTCATAGTTCAAAAGAACGTTCCCCCCGTGCCCGGCAGTCCCAGCTGTGATGTCGGCTCGCAATGCCTCAAACACCGTGTTCCAAGTGGTGGTGATGATGGTCTGTTCGCTGTCTAGTGGCAAAGAAGACAGTTTGCACTGACCATTTACATTAAAGTCAACACATTTGGTGTTCTTAATACTTGTAGCCTCTAGCGTTGCATAAGGTTTGTATTTATTAAGAAGCTTCAGCGCATATGGTCCCAGACTGATCCCGTTGTAAGACTGCATATCGGTTTCACTCTTCTTCTCTAGAACAGTGATGTCGTAGCCCAGTGGTTTGAGAACGACAGCGGCCATGAGGCCTGCTAACGATCCCCCAACCTGTTTCATCGTCAGTACAAGTCATTCTTGAGGCGGGGAAAGGAAATAGTAGACTAACAATGCATATCGATCTAGACATGGTGGGGATGGCAAAGTATGAATATTTTTGCTGAAGCAAGGCCGCTCTGTGTAAAGCTGGACGGAAAACTGACCGATGGTATGAAGAACGAGACGGTAGCCACCTGGTGTTAACCATATTATAGGACCGCTTATCTAATCGACCGATGGATGCTCATACATACAGAAGCACTGCGCGCTTAACGCGCGTGAGTCCGTGCGTACCAAAGTTTTCATAAGCGGGATTGCCGCGGATGCCAATACTGGTAGCTTGCGCGCATGCTGTCATGCGCGCTTGTGACGTGTGGAACTCATATCAAAGTAGCATAGTTCCAACTATCACATGCAGAGCTAGCATGACTGAGTATAGTACACAAGCTGAATTAAATCAAAACTGTCTCATACATGGCTCCTGCATATATTGGCCTTATCTTTCAAAAATTATCTTGTGATTCTCTTACGTACCAAGGAAAACCGTAATACTTATAGTTTATATTGCTAAAAGCTTACTAAATAATGTAAGACTGTTTTACTATGTATCATTGTCACGGCGCCAGCTGGAGTAGCCAAGCCCTGACGATTCTGATTGGCTGCTGACAGAATCCGGGTGTGGCCCAAGCACCCGGATTCTGCAAAACCGCTGCAGCGCAGTTCTGTGGCTCCTTGAGCTACGTCCTGTCTACTATTCCCACTACCTGTAGTGCGAACCTGTCTGATACGTCTGTAGCAATAGAACCTATACCTGTGCCTATCTCCCTGTCCCTGAGCTATACCGTGACAATCATAGCCTATATTCTAATTTTTCGCTTTTTATAAGTCCCTTACCTTCATCTAACATAATATAATAGCTAGCTTAATGCACGCTAGTTGAAAACAATACAGTATAAGCAACTTCCGCGTACTTTTAAGGTTGAGTATTCAGGAGGTAATTAAGTTATAGGATTGTTAATAGTAGTTTATAGTCCTAGGTGATATATAGTTATTACTATGTGTAACGGGCTGAACGCCCTTTTGGATGGCTCCTCGATGGAATCTCGGTCAAGCAGCAGACGCCGGGTCTTGCTCTACAACCCGGCATCTGTGCGACGCCTGAGCGGCGCTCAGACGACGCGCTCAGACACTCGGCGTAACCCTTCTCCGACATGTAAATCCGACATGTAAATAAACACCACGCAAGTAGATTCTATAGCTCTCTATCGAATACAACCTCTTGTATACCTCGCGATTGCTCCACGGAGCGCAGCCCCTTACATTTTGTATTCGATCCCAATTAGACATAAGCCCTAGGCAGACTGTCTTCTGGCTAGTTCAGGACGTGCTATTAAGCGTAAGCTAGTAACACGGAGTTGGTGCTGCAATAGGCACGAAAAGGCCTTTGACGCAGCAAGTAGGTGGACTATCGCAAGACAGCACACCTAGAGCAGAGCTTCGCAGGGAGCTAAGCAGCGAGAGACAGCAGGCGAAGAGACGCCCAGGACCTGTCCAGAGAAAGTCCTATCGTGTCTTGGAAAGCCGAGCCGTAGGCGCAGCGTCGCGTGATAAACTACCTGAAGGCCGGTTGAGCCTAGCGTACAGGAAGCTAGAAGCGGACGTTGTAGTGAGAAGTCCTGTCGATCCTCCATCGGACGAGGTGCAGGCCGTGCGATTACTCTCAATTGGAGACGAGATCCCACGAGCGTGACGGCAAGACGCGGGTCTTCCTAGGGACGCGACACGGCAGCAGCCAGACGCTGCTCAGTACCGGTCAGAAGAGAAGTACGACCGAAGGTAAGCCCTACTAGTCCTCACCGACGAGGAGTAGGCCGCAGTCAAGGACTGCGCGAGTAGATCGAAGGACGATCAGAAGCCCTGCACATCGGCAGGCAAAGACAAGAGACGTCTGAAAGCGAATCAGGCAATGGAGGCCAACGCTCCTAACTTGAACGTTGAAGAGCTGGCGGCTTACGCCACCGCTAAGAGCCAGGCAGGAGTCCCGGACGAAGAGATCCTGCGTGAGATCACGCAGATGCTGAGAGAGGACGGATGGAAGGAAGCAGCGATTGGACCAACGATTGAAGCAGTCGTTAAACGATCGTCAGTCGTAGGAGGGAAAGGCTCGCCAAGACAGGGGAGTTCACCGAAGGTCAATCGGGACGCTATGGCCCAAATGATGGAGCAGATGATGCAGTTGCTGGGCCCGATGGCCAGCCGCCTAGAGGCACTTGAAAGGAACCAAGCCGAAGGACGTTCGGAGTCATCCCCAGGAGCCAACACCCCTCTACCACCACCAATAACAGCTGCCGAACCAGTGGCTCGCAAGAACAAGTTTCCTGACCCAGAGCGTTTCGATGGCACACGTGATAACTACCCAGGATGGAAATTTGAGTGCGAAGGGAAGCTAGAGTACGACCACGTCATGTTCCCGACGGAGGACGCAAAGGTCCGATACGTGCTTAGCCGGACGAAGGACAAGGCGAACCAGGTCCTTCTCCCTTGGGTGCTTGAGAATAAGGAACGAACTACGGTCGGCCTATGGGAGCACATGGATACTCACTTCCAAGACGTGCACCAGCAGCAGCGTGCGCTGAACAAGCTCCGGCACTTGAAGCAAGGACGACGACCAATACGCGACTATGTCTCGGAGTTCAACCAACTTCGCGTAGAATCCCGACAGCAGTTCAGCCCGGCAGTAGCTCGTGAGATGTTCAGCGAGGGACTAGGAGAAGAGCTCCAGAAGCTGATGCTCCATGCCCCGAAGAATGGGAGTCTGAAGGAGTATATGGACAAAGCAATCGAGCTCTCCGATGACCTGTACCGGATACAGCTGCACGGGAAGAACCAGAAGAACGCAGCTTACAGTCATGCGCGAGCCCCTCTGAAGACCGCCCAGCGAAACGATAGCCCGGAGGCGATGGACTGGGAGCCTTCGAAGGTCAACCGGGTACGGGAGGTGAATAGCAGGCCAAGACGGCCTCCACCCGACTGCTACAGCTGCGGAGAACTGGGCCATATTGCCAGAAACTGCCCAAACACCACTAGGGTCAAGAAAGCAAGAGCAGTCCGCAGGGACGAAGGGCAGAGTCACCAGAAGCAGACTAAGGACCCGGAAGACAGCGACTCGGGAAAAGAGGAGCTCTGAGCCAGAGTCTCGGCTCAGAGCCTCTGAAGATGGATCGGCAGACAAGTAGCGAATGGAGTCAGTTTCAGCAGAAGCATATGCGTCCCCCACCAATCACGATAGATCTAATCGTGAACAACGTGGTGAATGCTACAGCACTAATTGACTGTGGATGCCTTTGCTACGCGCTGATTGATAGGAGATTCGCCTACCGCCACCATCTAGAGCGCTTTCAGATCCCTGCCCGAATGATTGAGGGAGTGAATGGTAAGCTGTCAGAGATTAACGAGGTCGCCCAATTCTCGTTCAAACTACATGGGTACGAAGAAACCGCCTATGCGTACGTGATGGACCTGTCCTCTGGCGAGGACGTGTACCTAGGGAGGGGGTGGATGGACCACCGCGATGTGACGATAGCCCCAGCTAAGAAGAGTATCTTCATCCACTCAAAGGGCATTCGAGTGAGGTCTACAGAAGGGACCTTACGAGGAGGAGTTAGCCAAGTTAGCGCTGCAGCGTTCACAGCCCTAGTCCGTAGGCATAAGAGCGCTCCGGACAGCGTTCAGATCTTCGCTGCGTCGATCGCAGATATCGACAAGGCACTACAACCAAAGAAGCCCGTAGACGTACGAGCGCTGTTGCCGAAGCAGTACCAGGAGTTCTACGAGCTCTTTAACCCACGAGAAGCTGAGAAGCTTCCACCCCACCGAGGACCAGGGGTGGACCACAAGATTGAATTGGAGCCAAGAGATGCTCAGCCGCCATGGGGACCTCTCTACAGCATGTCGCGGGGAGAGCTTCTAGTTCTTCGAAAAGAGCTTACGTCACTTCTTGAGAAGGGGTTTATCCGTGTGAGCAGCTCTCCAGCCGCCGCACCCGTTTTGTTCGCGAAGAAGCCTGGAGGAGGGCTCCGATTATGCATCGATTATCGAGCCCTAAATGCGATTACGAAGAAGGACCGGTACCCGTTACCGCTAATTCGAGAGACGCTTAATAGCATAAGCAAGGCGAAGTGGTTTACAAAGCTAGACGTTATCGCAGCCTTCCACAAGATCCGTGTCGCACCAGGTGACGAGTGGAAAACAGCCTTCCGAACAAGATTTGGACTGTTCGAGTGGCTAGTCACCCCGTTTGGTATGGCAAACTCCCCAAGCACTTTTCAACGATATATCAACTGGACCTTGAGGGAACACCTAGACGACTTCTGCTCCGCCTACTTGGACGATGTGCTAATCTACACTGATGGCGATCGGCGCCAGCACCGAGAGCATGTCCGAAAAGTACTTAGCAAGCTCCAAGCTGCAGGACTACAGGTAGATATCAAGAAGTGCGAGTTTGAAGTCAAGACAACTAAGTACCTTGGGTTTGTTATCGAAGCTGGTAAGGGAATAAGCATGGATCCAGCCAAAGTAGCCGCAATCCGCGAGTGGGAGGCACCAAAGACGGTAAAGGGAGTAAGATCGTTCCTAGGATTCGCGAACTTCTACCGAAGGTTTATTAAGAACTTCGCACAGCTAGCCGCACCTCTTACGAGGCTCACAGGCGACGTCCCTTTCCGATGGGGACCTGAGGAGCAGTCAGCCTTTAAGAAGCTAAAGGAGATCTTTGTCACAGAGCCAACGCTGGCGGCGTTTGACCCAGATCGGGAGACAGTGCTCGAGTGCGATTCGAGCGGCTACGCGGTGGGCGGAGTGCTATCGCAGTACGGCGACGATGGAGTTTTACGACCCTGCGCGTTCTTTTCGCGGAAGAATAACGCACATGAGTGCAACTACGAGATCCACGACAAGGAGTTGCTCGCGGTAGTACGATGCCTAGAGGAATGGGATTCCGAGCTGCGTTCAGTCGAGAAGTTTAAGGTGATTACGGATCACAAGAACTTTGAGTACTTCATGAAACCCCGCATGCTGAACGAGCGTCAGGTG